ATTTTCCAGGGGCTCCAGCAAAGCTTTGGTTTATATCTGAAATACTATTGGGGCAGGGGGAGACAATGTGAGTAGGCTCCAGGGGTTCAGGTTAGTAATTTTATGTGTAAGAAAAACATAATACACATCAAGTTAGGCAAGTATGGGTTTTCTCAGGATCAAAATCTGTTCTCTTATCAGGGAAACAGGGACCATGCTGGCATCCTGCTGTTAGAGACTAGCTGTGCCCCTGCCTAAACATGTCTACCTAGACACCAGCTGGCTGAGCTGCCAGACAAAGCCTGCTGACATGCACATGTAGATCAAGTATTATCTGGCTCCACCTTCCAGTTCTCACTTCAGTGTGCTCAAATCATTGAAACTTTACTACTTGATTTGGAAACTTCTGGTTTGGGAACAAACTTCTAATTAGATTGACCTCAACAGTACAGAAACCATTTAGGATAAGTGGACGTGTTTTCTTTCCCATCAAATGACTCTTGGATAAGAAATGTTTATTATTTTATTTCTCTGGTCTGCATTGTCTTCATACTTCTTGCAGACTGTACTAGGCTGCTTTTCCCTGTGACTTCTGGGGAGGGGAGAGTTATCTGGCACATGTTCCTAGAATTTCATTGTGGAATGCAGAAATACATTGTGGCTCAAAATAAACCTTCCGATGGCGCTTGGACACTGGAAGAAAGCTTTCCAGACCCACTGTGGTCTTCATTACAGCAAAGAAAGCAGTTGTTAGTGGCAGGAGAAATTTATTCAGGAGATTGCTATTTCTGCAATTTCAGGGTTGTGCAGCTGTGTAGGGGGACTTGCACATGTACAGGCCAGGGGCCCCATCTGTTTCTAATAAAACACGTAGGGGGGGAAAAATGCGAAAGTGGCAGTTGTATAGTATAGATTGGGAGGCGAGTCCCAGCAGTTGTCTGCTGCCAGTTTCCCTTCCCTCCCTTTCTGTATCTTCATAATGAGAAGTGAGAGCCTAAGGAGGGATGATGCTGCACTTTTTCTCCTCCCTTTCTTTCTTCTACTTAGAGTATGGATTGTTATTTATACCCTGAATGCCATCTGAAGGAAAGTACCTGTAGGAAAGTACATTGTGTAGCTGAAGTCCTGGGAAAGCAAACAGCAACGGATTTCATTAAGCCTTTGCAGCATGGAGTGCAGTAACCTGCAGCACAGGCTCAATCCTGTTCCTACAGATGAAGTTTATAGATGGTCTGCTACTGAACTTCTTGAAATGCCTGGTAGTAAGATATACCCGAGCAGATCAGGTGGGAGTTTTAATGGAACATTTTTCACCTCTGCAGGAATTCAAAACTCAAGTGGTACAATGTAAGGCACAAGACAATGAAATTTTTTCAGGAATAATTTAAAACTGTTATTTTCTTTGCTTTCAGACTTAATTTTTATTTTTTTTTTTACTTGTTTTCTAACACAAAATCTGTAATGTCACTGTGATAGCTGTAGTGGGACCAGTCGCAGATTGGATGAGAGGCACTTGAGCCAGAAGGTTTGTGAACCCTGATATCTTGCCTTCAAATTTTTAAGGCATTCTGATGGAATTGGATACCTCAAACCTGTTGCTCTCAGTGGGAGCATTCCTACTTTTCCATTATACTGAATTACCTTTGATGGCAGTTCTTCTTTCCACATGAAGGCATCTTGAAACAGTGTAAAATGGGAAAGTTAAGTCCTCCTTTGCCCTTCCATGGCTATTAACCTTCTGTTGTCTCACTGAGTCAGACCCCTATCTGAATTATAGTGGAAAGTATGCTTGTCCTTGACTGGAGTGATAATGCCTTGATGTGTGTTTGTAATGGATGGTATGTGTTTATACTTGGACTCCCAGGAGATGGATGCTTTCAAGCCTGTTACCATCCTGAGCTTTGATTTTTGCTCAGAAATGCCTGCTGTGCAAGGATTAGTATATGATGTGTTACGTGAACATACAATAGAAATAACAGGTGATGCTTTTGGAGAACTTAATTTCTGTTGGAGCAAAAGAGGGCAGGGTTGGAAGGGATTGAGAAGAAGTGAAAAGAGAATAAGGAATGGAATGGGTGAAAACAGCCTGGAGGTTGAAGAGACTTTTCATGTTTCCTCATTCTGGAGTGCAGAAGGGCATTCTAGCCATGTACCTTTTCCAAATGGTAGACAGTCCAAAGGAAGTATTGGTGATGTTGTCTTACTGCCCTTTTGGAAAACAAGTAAGGCTCCTGCTCGTTTCATCACCAGTGACCTTGTGATCTAGAATCCAAGGTTTCATTAGGTAAATGAAGCATAACAGGCAGAACCATAACTACTGAAACAGGTGACTTTGGGAGCAGAGAGCACTTCTGAAGTGTTCCAGTGTCCTTTCAGTAGAAGAAGTGGTCCAGGCCTTGTGCCAAATCGAAATTTACAGGTGTAATTGGATGAAACCGTGATGCACAGAGGTGAAAGCAGCTACTGCTGGTTGCAAGGCAGTGACATTGAATGAAACCTAAGAGTCCACCCAAGCAATAACTGCATATGCTTTAAATACTGTAGAGCTTTACACCATGCAGATATTTAAGGAAAGGCTTTATTGTCTTTATTTACAGTCTGTATCATATCAACTCTGATCCTAGTTTGTGAGGACTTGCAAGTGTGATGGTATAATGGTGAATGAGATCCCCGGGTAATACACAGACAGTGAGTCAGTCCAACTGTCATATATATGTGTTATGAATGACTGACTTGTAAGCACAAGGAAATTAGGTTTACGTTTATTGAAGTAAGAGCAACTGCTTTTTCTGTCATGCAGTATCCAAGTGGTATTATCTTTGAGCAGGTGGCTTCTGTGTGTGAAATGAAATGGAAGCAAGGCTAGTATTGTCAGTGTGATTTATGGCACATTACTTAGGTGTCTCAGTGTCTGAAGGAATTGGGAAAGTGCTTGAGAAACAGTTGGCTGAGGCACCATCCATACAAAAAAGAGCAGTGCTGGAAAGCAGGATCAGCTCTTTGTGAATTTGCTTTGTATTTGTTGGGGTGTCATCATCTCCTGTTCCCCCCTCAGCTTATAAATACACACGTAATCCCAGATTGCATTTTAGGAGCCACACTGCTGTAACTTAGTATATTAAATCCAGACTAGCCGCAATTAATGATGTGGCTGAACTAAGCTATTCCTGACGGGTTTTTCTTTATTGCTCCTTAGATCCTTCAAAAGAGGAAATAAGCGTAGTGGTCTTCTCTGATGGTTTAGGAGGAAAAAAACTCTCATCTATATATAATCTTTGTAGGTGAAATCCGGGACATTGGTATGAGTCCTAGTTTTCATGGGAAGAGACGATTATTTCGTGAGTTCTGTGGTCAAGGGATGAGGGGAAGATGTCTGAATACACATTTTCCTTCCCTGTGGGAATTTTTTCTTGAGGTGCATTATTGGCACTGATGGTTTTGTAATAGTTTTCTGCCAAGTCTCTGGAAACCTGTTCTTTATAACTGGCATAAAATAAAACTACTTTGCAGGAAATACGGAATGGCAAATTGTGGTGCTAAGCTAGGGAAGTTGAATCTGATGTATTGGTTGCGGACAGTGTACATTTTCTGTGCTTTTGATGTGACTGTTACTATGGCTGTTTTTCTTTCAGTGGAGTCTGTGGAGCTTGCAAAATCCTCTCAATTGTAACAAGACATGAATTGGGATGCTAGGGACTCATTTTACAACGGAAAGGTCCAGACACATTTAATTAGTGTTACTTGCAAGCACCAAGGAGGGCATCACACAGCTCAACAGTTAGACATGAGGGATGAGGAATATTTGTTACAGCTTATGAGCTTTGTGGAAGGAACCCGTCATCTCCAGCACATGTTATTGGGGTGGATTGTGGTTGATTCATGTTTATGTTACTGTCTCATTAACAGAATGACTTACCATGAGGAATGTTCAGTTCTCTGCATTTGTTCCACCAAAGCACTTCTGGCGCATTGCTCATCCCGTCAACGTTTTCTTCTACAACCTGTATCTGCGCTTTCTGCTTTCCGCTTTCCAGCTCATTTCTGGCCTTACCTTGCTTCACAGTTTTTCGCAGCCTTATTATGCTTTCAGTTCTCACAACGTTACGGTGCCCGTGCCCCTCGCAGCAGTCCCCGCGGCAGGCTCTGCTCTGCCGTAGGTTACACGCTCCCTCTCGTGGCTTGTTCAGGATGGTGCCGAGGAAGGCTGTTCCTAGCCAAGTTTCCTCAGGGAAAAGCTGGGTTGGGGTATTTGATGGAATAGTGATCAGGAATTTATTTGCCATATCCAAGTTTGTTGATTGTTGGGTTTCGATTTTGTTTGTGTGTTGGCTTTTTCCCCCGGTCATGGCTTTTGTGGAAGCTGAAATTGAATGAAAGTCATCTGCTTCTAAACTCCATCCACGAGACAGGTTCTTTCTCTCTTTGTACATCACTGGAAACGTCCGTGGAGGTGCGTAGGTCATATGATGTAGTTTCCGGGTAGGAACTAGAAATTGTTTGGACTGTAAAACCTAGCCTTATTGCAGGGAGGGCTCAGCTGCCTGAACATGCTAACTACTGCTGTTGTGGCTTTCATGGCAGCTTGGTAATGGGAGTTTTTGATCACCTCTGACAACTTTATTGTATCCATTTAGTTTTTATGTAGTACATCATCCCCAAGGCTTTGTGAGAGACTGTTATACCCTTCATCCCCATAGTCTCTGGAAGGCTTTTTTTGCACCTTCCTGCTCAGCTGGTTGTCAGGCTGAAATGAATTCAAGAATTGTATGGGTAGAGACTGACCTGTGTTAATTTTTGGCTCATGTGGCTGTTGATTATTTGGATAGCTGTGGATCTGTGTAAAGTTAGAAAGCATGGTACTGAGACTTTGGCTGTAAAAACAAATATTGGGTCTTGAGGATAGAGATAAAAGGCAGGATATTGTATCTGGGAGATGCAGAAACTTGCACATCTCACTGTTCCCTGGGGACTTTTCATAGTAAAGAGCAATTAATGATGGTAACAATGATTCGGAAAGGGCGTTCAGTGATACATTATCTTTTGCTATTTTTAATCATGGCAATACAATGATACTTAGGTTTATTCTTTCAGCAAGCCTCTACACCGATTAATTTGTGTGTCTGATTTCTTTCAGTTTGAGGACACCTTCCATCTTCTTGTACTCTCAGAGGACATTAGTCTCATTCCTTCTGCATTTTCAGTTCTGCTGAAAATGTGGTGTTTTTTTCTTAAGCCATTATTTTATGTCCTGGAAAATAGAAGGAGGTGGGGAAAGAAGGGTATTCAGCAGGAATCCTCAGGTGGCCTGAAGGTCTTTGCCTTCACAGATCACTGCAGGCAGCTTGGGCAGCATAGTCCAGCCATGCATTCTTCTTCTTCTCCCCTCCCTGCTTTCTTCCAGTGTGTAGTTTCTACACTACAGTTGCAATGCAACCATTGCAAATAATAACAAAATGTGGTAAACCTAACTACATTAGCTTTTGATAGCTTCTGTGTGCAGGGTGTGTATGATACAGAGATAATAGGGGAAGACTGTCCCCAGTTACATTGTAAAGCAAACTAAGAAAAAGACAATATAGTCACCATTTTACAGACAGAATTGAAACAGATTGAAAGCAAGATGGTAAAGTCTGCACTGCACTAACACCCGATTGATTTTAGTAAGATATGGTGAAGACTTCATTTAGATGTGAGTGGTTCAGAGATGCACATGCAGAGATGGGAAAGCATTAGAATAGACCCAGACATTTGATGTTCTCCCCAGTATGCTGATAGTGGATCTCCCATAGGACTGCAAGGTAACTTGTCACTGTACACCTACATAACTGCTGTGTTGGATGGTTGACTAATAATTCTCCATTCAGTGCTAGTCAGAAATACCTTTCTTTTGTCTCCTTCATCTCTGGTTACAAAATACAAGGTGAATATTCTACTTATGCTATTGCCTACAGAACTCTCTTATCTTAAAGGCTGATGGCATCTGGCTGGTCACCTGCACATCATAAATATGACTGCTGCTTATGCTGAGTTTTGAAGGAAAAGAATAGGTTGGGAGAATTTGCTTTGTAAGACCCAAACAGGAGTTGACCTTGGTACGATAAGTAATATTAAATATCACATGAACACAAATGAATTCTTCACTTGGAATTCATTTAGTTGATATTTTCTTTCTTGAGCTGGCTGAGCAGACATGACATAGGTTCTGTTAAAAATCCTTCTAGCTAAATATCAGTGGGTTCAAAGTATCATTGTATCTGCCCTACAGAAAATCTCCCATAAAGCACTATTTTAACACATTAGTGCTAAACAATATTTTATTCGTGTTTTACAATTTTTTTATTAAAAGTTTTACAGTCTAACAGAGTCTTGCTTGTGTTCTGTATTCCAGGACTGCCTGCATCCTATCCCTTCTAAGTTTTAATAAATGGCTTAGTAGTAACAGGGTAGGAAAGGACAGTTGAAGTAGGAAACTGCTATATATAGAGAACCAATTTAATTTACTGTTCTGGCTTTAAGGCTTGCTTAGATCCTCATGTTTGAGTAAAGAATAGATTTGATTTGATTTTAAGTACAAGAAAATAGATATGTGTTCAACAGTCATCTCTAGATTTTTGAATTTATAGACCTCTTAAGCAGAAGTTATACCAGGGAGTGCTTGATAGAATTAAGGAAATTAATATATAAAAGGGAGCTTTAGAAGACAGATAAATTCTCAGGCTTCAGGGTACACTCTAGCCCCAGCCATTAGTAAATAGGGGTCAGGTGGATATACATTATCCTAAGGATTAACCTTGTCTACTTCTATTTCAAAAGCTGGTACTGACTATCAATCGAGACCAGCTTTTGCACCTGACTCATCCATATTGTGGCAGAGCACAAGGGCCACAATTACAGATCAGGGCACTGTTGTGCTAAGTGCTCTTCAACTTGCGCACAAAACAGTAGTCCCTGCCCTAAAGAGCTTAGCTGCAGTTGTGGTCTGTATGATCCCTTGTGATAGTTCCTACTTATGGAACACATCTCAGTAAAAATAACCTGAGTTTTGAAAGTGCAGAGCAAGCATACAACATCTCTTGGCACTACATGTTCAGTGCTGAATATCAGGTCACTTTGTAAATCTACATAAGGGCTCATGGTGTGAAATTTTTCATGGAGCCTGGAAGAGAAAAGCTTGTTTAAGAGAAATCCTGCCTGTGACCCATAGTTTAAGCCCCAATATTCTGAAAATCATGGTTACCATGGTGATATATTAGCTCTTTATGTTTAATTATATTACCACTAATTTCAAGCCTTGGCCTGCAGACTGGGCAGCAATTGTAGCTAAGAGCCAACTGAACTTTCACCAGTTACCAGGAGGTATCTGATAACTGTTCTTGCTTTTCCTGGGTGCGAGACATAGCTTTTTAAAAAAGGGAATGTTACGTCTCATAAAAAAGCTTGAGGCTGCCTTCTCGCCGTCTTGAATCAGCCACTAAATACAGCTATAAGCCAGCTTCATTAGAGACGCCACAGGCCTCTTGCATTATTGCAGTAATCAAGGCACTTGCGGGCTCACTTCTCCTGCTGATTTTATTACACTGAGGAGATAAAGTTTGGGTAAGGCAGGGCCTTTCCTTGGTCAAAATCAATGAAGAAGGAAAGGAAGCAACTGACATTACTATGGAAACAAATGCTGCATCCTAGAGAAGAGTTGGAGTGGTGCGGGGAGTAACAGCAGCCTGCTTCAGAGAAAATAGGCAGAAAAGCGTACTGGTATTGTGCGGGGGTGTTCTGCAGAGCACAGAGAGGGACTTCATTGCTTGTGACAGGCAGTGAACTTCACAAGCCAAATTGTTCAGATATTACCCTCCTGTGAAGAGAGGTTCTGGAGGAGGCAGAGTGAGATAGAACAAAAAATGTGAGTGCCAGCCGAGTGCAAAGGAAGAGAAAGTGGAAGTGATGGATTAACATGTTTGGCTCAACCAGACTGATTTGCTTTACTAGGTTCATAGATTTTTGCTCACATTTTGATCATGAACTTTGGGGTTTTGTTCAGTCTTTCTTCTTCCAGGGAGAAATTTTAAATGCAAATTACTCATGTCCCAGATCCTGGAGTTAATCTGTATACTGTCTTTTGTTGTGGCACAGTTTGTCTGGTTTAGGATAGAAACCTTAAATCATGTGCTTATCATGGAAATAATTTTTTTTCTGGATGTTATAGTTAATTTCAAGAGATTAACTTAGTCCTATTTGTAAGCTATTAAGATTCATGCTAGAGATGGTGTCACCTACTGACAGATACCCATTTTCTCAGACCAACTTTGATGTGTCTCTGGTTTTGATAATTGGTGACTGTTCCCTGCTACTGGCATCCGTACAAGATTAGATGGTGTGTATCTGAGTTTGACAGTTTAAAAACCAAAAAACCCACAACACACAAAAAAAAAAGGAGTATAAGTAAGAAATTTTATTTTTGCCCATTGCTAATGTAATATAACCAAGTCTGAGATGGATTACAGAAGAAGATGGAACGCGAGTTGAAGAGCTCTGCTTTATCCCGCTTGATTTAGTACTTATAACACAGATAAGGCATTACAAATTGAAGAGGCCCAGCAATGAATAGACACAGAAAGAACACCTGATCTTTCTTTCATTCCCAAAGCTGATATTATTGCAAGGATTGCCTTGCTTGTAATGACCAAGAGAGGTTCAGTCCTGAACTCTGCTAGTTCTTTTAATTTTTGAAGCACATGTATTCAGCTAAAATGTTCGTTGGCTGACTTGCATAACTTGTAAATTGCAGAGCTTGAGAAGAGACATAAAGTGAGACGGGAGTTAAGGATACCCAAGGGAGAGCAATATCAGCATTCACTCCAGTTAACTAGCTGATGAGGCTAACTATAACCCCCTTACGACAGTAAAAATCAAATTGGAAGCTATATGGTTTTTTAAAGCTAAGGTAACAGTGGAAAAGATCAGGCTACCCAGAGCTGTGCCCTGTCATTAAACATGGATTGAGTTGCTTATATTTGCCATGGTGAATTCTTATTAGGTTTCCAGGAGACTTCTCAGAGGACAATACATGAAGCATTTGCTTGTCTTCTGGCAATTTGGTTACTGTTTATCCTGTCAGTCACAGCTGATGCTGCAAGACATTTAGATACACTAGGAGGGGCAGGGAGCAGGTTTGATCGGTTTTACATTCTTTTTGTTTCTCCCCTGGGATCACCCCTTTTTGAGCTTAGCTGTAAAAGATGTCTAAATCTGAGCTTGTGTAAACTATTCCTCTGATAATGTGTTTTAGTGCCTGAACGAGGAGGGCCACTAATTTATTGCCTGTAACTTGACCTTAGTCAGACAACTAGGTAGTTAAAACAGTAGTGCAGGAAAGAGAAGAGGCAGTAAACAAGCTCATTTCACTCTTCCCTGAGGCATTTTCATTCCTGTGCTTTCTGAGCAAATAGGCCAGTGTATTAGCACGTTATTCTTTCTAATCTTTTGGCTTCTGTTTTCATTATATTAATGCTTTAGGTTTTATTCAAGGGAAAGATGCCTTAATGATGCTAATAGTTCTAATGATTTTCTGAAATTCTGGAGGTTCCATCAGTGTGGTAGTCGCAAAAGATCTTCTGTTAACGTACTAATTTAGATGTTCTCACAGTCTACCCACAAATTATAGTGGTATTTCCAGAGGCAGCACGATCAATTCACCAAATTCTCAGAAATATGTAATAGCCTGCCCTGTGACAGTACTTTGTCCTTGGGGTAAAGTGTCTTCACCAGCCTTGTTTGTAATTGCAAAGGATTAGTAGTGTGAGGATTTCCAGGTGTGGTTCTGCCGGCATTAGTATTAGTACTCCAGCTTCCACCTCTGTGGCTGTAAGGTGTTATAACCAAAGGAGGGAGGGGGGAAAAAAGCCCCAGATACAGAATGCTTGGATTTCCTTGCTTTCAAGCAGTTGTGCTGTGCCTCCTGTCTCTTCAGTTTAGCACTCCCGTTACTTCTGTTGTTTGCTTGGGTCTTTTGCCTCCAGAGAGGAAGGTGTATTGAAAAAACTGAACTGGAATTGTGCAAGGAGGCCACATGCCATGAGGTTTGGAGTAGCTCTTGAAACTGTTTTACACTTTGATTTTTGTGACCAGCTTACTTTACTATTTCAAACCTGCCAGCTTTACTATAGTTGCTTCTGGTGTTCTGCAGTTGTGTCATTTATAAATGCCAAAAGCCCATTATCCAAGCTGAAAAACAGGGAGGAGAATAGATGAAGTAATTGCTAGAAATGTCCAGTGGTGGTTCCAGACTGCCTCTGCAGTATAATGCCATAGCATTGTGCTTTTTCTGTTGTAAAATACATATTTGTTAATTCCTCCTCTGTAAAAGTCATCTGATGTTAATGTACTATTCCCTTATGAATACTAATGTATTTTCTTATTCTTTTGCTTTGCTATGCCTTCTACTCTTCCAATGTAGCTTTATGTAGTGAAGAAACCTTCCTGTTACTTCAGTAAAACGCAAGCCACTAAGTTTCTTTTTCACCTAATACACTGCAGAAGAATGGGTCAGTTTAAATTTGCAGTTTTAGGTTATAAGGCAGTGTTGATAATTCGTATCTACTACAGCGTCAGCTGTAAATCAGTGGTACTTATTCTTGCTTTTTATCTGCGTGTAACTGTGGGACCCTGCTAGCTAATAGCATATTTCTGCTTGTTGTGTTATTTATAAATGATAAGGAATCGCCTTTTGGAAACTGTGTTCTGTGATGTTATCTGGCCAAAGTCTGCTCATTAGCAGCTGCAGTCTCACTTGGTTACTTCACTTGACAAATCCTGAGTTGACTGGTGGTTGAACGAGATCTCCAGTGGGAATGTTACGGGCCAGTCCCTCTGGCAAGAGATACACTGAGGCTTAGCATGCTTTACATGCTTCCTCTGGCTACTCTGGTGCATTTCCCTCAGCTTTGGTATTCAGGAAGTAAAAGGCTCCCTAGGCACTCCACCAGGTGAAGTTCCCACTGTTAATGTTACACTGGTTTAGTTGCCTGCCTTCATGGTGTAGGTCCAGGCTGCTTTTATGCCACGATTCTGCCAGGCTGAATTTTCAAGTTATGGATCCTGAAGACTAAATATCAAATAGATGCTGACACAGCAAATCCCATACAGCAAGAACACTCTTATGCATGTGGAAAATGCTTTGGATTAAAAATGTGCATCTGTGGACTTCATTGATTGTAAGCCAAATCAAGTCCTGGTCTAATATTGCTGACTTTACTCATGTTACACTTGCATTCTATTTGGCCCTCTGGCACTGTGCAAAGCTTGACTGGGTATCTTTTTCTTGGAAAAGTATGCTATCTTTCATACTCTCCTCCTATTTTCTTGGGGCTGGCTTTGATTATGTTGTGTGTTACCAGCCTCTAAGTCCGGCCTGATAAGGCTCTTGAAGTGCCCTCCTGTAAGAGGGGTAAGTAAAGAGGTTTGAAGAAAAGACATGTATTCTCTATTTTAACAAGACAACAGGCAACTAGTCTGCTTTTTTGATGTAGTGTGTGCAAAATCAGCGAGTCCTGAGTACACTCTTTGGCTGCTGAGAGAACTGAGCCTTTTGAGTCATGCTGTATTTGAATATAAAGTGCTGGGTCAGTGTATAATGTCTCAGCACATTGGTTAGGAGTTTGGATGAAATGAGGTTACTTAAAAATTGAGGTGAATAGCAACTAAAAGCAAGAGCTTTTTATCTTCATCTTAGACAGACCCTGATAGTTAGCTTCATGCTTTATTGCCATTAAGAGCAAAGCACGCATCTCAACATGATGGGGAAAATAGTGACAAAGCCTGTTATGCAAACCCTTCATTTAAAACTACAGCTGCAGTCAACATTGAAAGTAGTGGTACAGGCAGTAATTCAGCATTTCAGTACCTTAGAAGGCTTTTAAGGAAACACTCCAGCTTACACAAGTAATTAGTGCTCTAAAGGAAGTTGTAGTAAGGAAATTAAACTTCAGAAAAAGCCTCAATATGAGGTGCTGCTTGCATTAAAAAAAAACAAACCTACTTTACAACAAATGAAACACTTGAACCATCTATATTGTCAACAGGGCAGAGCTGGGCAGTTTGCATTGTTCTTTTCTGTCTGGCAAGCTACAAAGCAAGTGACATGGAAGCCAGGGAGAATGTGCAGGAGAGAGTAGGTAAATTAAATCTTCCTGTTGTGTTCAGCAGCTCAAAGAAAAGAAGGGCCAGCTCACAAGTCTCCTTAGCTTCTTCTGCCACTTCTGACTTGGGTGTAAGGCACTGTTGTGCTGGAAGGCGCTGCTGAGAGAAGCTCTATATTCCAGATGCAAAGAAGATTATGAAAACATGTCAACAGAGAGGCCAGATGTTCAGGTCAGTCAGCACAAGCTGTGCAGATTCCTGAATGTGATGTGAAGAATATAGCCACATTAATCAAGGCTCCTCCAAAACTACCATGCCTTAATGAGAGGGCTTCTTGAAGGGGTCAGGTGGAGTGTCAGATTCTTGCACATCACTAGCTTTCAGAGCGTCAGCTCTGCCATATCAGATCTATGCATGAGGGCTGTATTGTTCCTGCTACCTTGATATCTAAGTACTTTAGTTTTGAAGAGGTACAATTTTAAGGAGAAACCAATTCCCACTCTCACTAACTGAAGTTAGTAATTTCTATGAAGTAAATACTTAGTTTCAAGCTTTTCCAGATAGTCCAGCTTTGCCTATTGCTAAAAAAATGTATCCCAAAACTAAATCACCATATAAAGAAGGTTGGGGGGTAAGTGTTCAATTTTTTTCAAGACTTTAAAATGAAATCTTATGCTGGCAGTGCTACTGCCTTCATTAAGACGAAATGACAGACTGAAGGGGAACTGGAGCTTGCAGATTTTAGGGATTGCTTAATTTTGGGAATGACACAGACATCCCAAGAGCTTCAGCTCTTGCAGGGTTGTTAGCTACTGCTGTGCATTGCCAATGAAGCAACAGTGCTGTTCCACAAAAGAATTCAATGTGTGTGCATCCCGCTCAGCAGACTGCCAGGATGAACTAGCTGCAGCAAGATTAGACTTGACTCATGAGATTTTACAAATCCTATTTTTCTCATCTTTTCTCAGTTCTTTCTATACCCACAATGCAAAGTCACCCACATTTCTTTTTAGTGGAAGATTATGACTTCCTTAGTTTTTAATTAAAATTGTCCGTGCTCTGATTTAATGGCTCCATAAAGCATCTTGGCTTACTCAGCCCCAGGTAAATGAAAATATTTGCTGTGGCAAATAGGGCTATTAGTTTTATGATCCATAGCAATAAAAAGCTTTTATCAAGAATGTCATCAGAAGGGACATAAAACTGTGTTCCATATAAAACTGCTAATATGCCTGAGAAGCTTTACTTTGGTTTATAAGTTTCTACAGGAAAAGCTGTTACTAGTATTATTTTTTGGGGGTGTATTTTGTGGTCACCTCTAAAATTGAAAGCACTTTTGAGCAGTGTTTGAAAAGATCATGTGCATACAAAGGATGGAGTCGCAACCTTGGCAAGAGGTTGTGGGTGCAATCTGAATTACTCCCTCTTCTCTGCAGAGACTGCCTGCATCAACGCTGGCATGTTACTTTGTCCAGAATCAAAATGAATTTGACTTAAATTAAGCATAGATGAAATCTTTCTGAATTCCCTGTTTGTGGTTACGCAGTCAGGCTTTCAGCTGCTTAGGCAAGCAGGGGGTAGTTGTAAATAACCTACAGACATTTGCAGAATGGCAGATGGACTGGTGGACAAGGCTTTTGGCTCAGAGAGGTAGTTTTGTCCCCTGTGAAGGTGTACTGTGGGCCTACACCCAGACCCATGGGCAGTCAGGTTTTAAAAGAGAAGGTTACACTATTTTATATGACAATTTGAAGCGTTTGCCTCAAAACATAATATCTGGTTTTCTTAAAGCAAAAAGCAGGTTAGCCTTCTCCCACCCGCAGCAGCCGTAAGATCATTTTGGTAATGGTTCTTTTCATCCCATAAATCCATCCTGGTCCTAATATGGGTACCATTTTATCCAGCTGGAGCCAGAGTAAAGTTGACAGAAGATGGTAGCACTGGCGCTGGCTGGGCAGGAAGAGGGTCTGCAGCCAGAAGCACTGAAGGGGATTAGAGCTGCCCCTACTTTTTTGCATGCTCTGCAGGAGCCACTGCTGTCTCAATCATTTCAAAAACCTATGGGTGAGAGCACTGTGCTCAGCTAGAAGTATACTGCGGTGATGGGCAGGGAAAATGCCCTCTGTGCAGCATGTAGCACTGCCTGTTCATGGTGTCTACAGTGTGATGACAGCAGAGGGTGAAGAGCATCCTCTCACATACCAGATGCAGCCACTAGCCTGTGGCTTGTTCTTTGTTTTTCAGATGGTTCTCCTCTCAATGTTGCTTTGGTCACGTCTTTTTCTTTGCATTTTGTTCTGGCACTGTGGTGAGCTGCTGTTTGCTTCCTCCCTGAATCTTTATGTTCTGATATTCCCCAAAGGTATCTACAGTCCCCTCCTCCAATTCCTGGCAGAATTACTGAGAGGTTACCATGGCAACGAGGGAGGAATTGGATCCGCAGACCAGCTGAGATCAATCCCAGCTGCCTGCCTCCTCCTCTTGAGCAGTCAGCTTATTTTTAATAAAGTGACCATGTACAGGAGGCATGTCTTTGTCTTGTTAAGCCTTTGTTGTATATTAAATCCTGAGGGCTTTCACCATAATCTGCTGAGCTCACAAGCTTTACAAATCCTACCCTTACTCTAAGAGCTGTGGGCATTAGACCCAGTAGTACTTTATTCTTGATCAATTTTGTTTATTTCTGGAATGTAGCACGCACTGCAGAGTTTAATTGGGGAACTGGTGCTAGAAGTAAGTCAAGTTACAGGTACAGTGTTTAAGAGGTAGATGCTTCCCAGTGACACTGAAAAATGGCTGATCTCCAGTGGAAGAGCATCCTTACAAATGGCATTTCTGTTTGTATTGCAGTTGCAAGGCTCCAGGCTTGTTCTCTGCAGTCCTGCCTGCTGTGTTTGTATAAAGGGATGTGTCTAGTTTGCTTTTATCTCCTTTTCTCTATGTGCTTGGTGCTGCTACAGTGACTCTTTTCTAAATACGAAGTGCCCTACCAGTCTGCATTATTTGGGCTATTGGTAGAACCATTACACCAGGGCAGAGTAGCATCCCAAGCTTTAGGGGAATTGTTTAAGTGACCTTAAGGTGCCTGAAGGTGCCAAAAACTGTTTAGATCCAGTTGATCCTGATACTTCTTCATCTTGGGAAGTAAAAGTTGGATTCTTGTCAAAGGTGTGGCAGAGGCAATGCTTTGTTCTGTGCTAGCTGTCATAAAAGCAATTGGTGTGACTCAGATTTATGTTGTTGAGAAGACAGACAAATGAGCTCTGCCTTAGAAGGGTGAAAAATTGTGATACTGGCTTAGCCAGGTCCCAGGTTGCAGTTGGTGTCTCCTGTCCTTGATGGGGCTGTCCAGAAGCTGGAGGGTGTGCATCTTTTCAAAAGCGGGTACAAAGATACGACATTGTTCTGCTAAGAGCCTCTCCAGAGATACAGAGAGGTGCAGACTATCTTGCACATACAAGTGCATTCTAGTGTGAGGTGTCCCTGCCCATGGCAGGGAGGCTGGAAATTGATTATCTTAAGGTCCTTTCCAACCGTAACTATTCTATGATTCTGTGATTCTACTGTAGATGCCTGCCCACTTCTTGCAGCTACAGAGAAATGGTAAATTTGTTGTGTAGCACGTCTGGAACATGATAATAATTCATGCTGTGACGCCATACAGATTTAGGTCCGTCCTTACTTCCAAAGTTCAAATTGAAACATTCTGAGGAGAAGAGGTAAAAGTAGTGGAAAGCTAAAGCAGTAGTGGTTTTACGGGAAGGGAAGGATGTGGGAGGGATTGAACTCACGTGGTTTCTAGGGAGCTGTGATGGATATAACCCCATAGTAAATTTGCATTAATGCAAATCTGTAGCCAAGTGTATTTAGTGTTCCAAGATGTTCTGTTTTCGTGGCCCCAGATAGATCTTCAAGAGCAGTGTGTACATTAGCCTTTCTGCTGTTAAGGTGAAAGGGTGACTACAGCTCACTGCTGTTCATTCACACACTGTTTCACATCAGTCCTTTTGACTTTATACAGATACAGAACCAGTACCCAGCAATTAACGCACTTTGCTCTGCTTAAAGTGGCATGTTATTTACTTAACAGGTAAAGCCTGCTGTGTTAGCCTCAGTCTTGGCCCAGCAGGGAGACATCCTCCCTGCCTATTACCAAAATCATGGCTTAATTTGAGCTCATTTCATTTGTTGAAATGCAAAACTAATTATGTTTAACTACAGATGAACAGGAAGTTGCATTAGCAGTGGGTTTTTTTCCAAATCAATGGGGAGTTATTCAGCATTATTTGGGGGCTGAGGAACTTTGTAACCAGATAAAAGATATGGGGGAGGGCCGAGCTATAAAAAGTGTTATTGTGTGATTATGAAGAGGCCTTTTAATGCAGTTATTATGTGATGCTAAAAAGGCCTTTATTGCTACAAGTTGGAAGCAGAATACAAATGGGCTCACAGTGTCTATTAAGTGAAGAGTGGAAAAAATAGTCTCCATTTCCCTGAACTGCAAAGCAAAAATAATGATTAAGTAGTGATTAAAATCTGTGGCAGTTCTGGGTTTGTTAGTTTGATCATATACTAAGCAACAAAGTTTAGCAAGTAGGGAGCAATTGTTTGTGTCATTTAAGGCATAGCTAATTGTTATGATGAACCTGTTTGTCCAGGATCTGATGTCAGTAAATTGTTCTGCTGATAAAAGCTGGTTGAAACAACTAGGGTTGAACTTCTCCCTGATGTAAAATAAGTACAGGTGAGCTTGACGTGAATAATTCAGAGGAACGTTTCTTCTCAGATGACAGCTGATTTCCAGAAGTTAGCTTGTTTCCCTGATTGAAGGCTGCTGGACAAACACAGCTGGGCTCCTCTGTACCTTATTTCATCACCAGGGGTCTGCTTCCCAGCCCTTTGTGAACTCAGTTTGTAGAAGAAAGCTTTAATGTTGTTTGCAGACACATTGAGAACAAGAAACAGGGCAGGTTCCAGACTGGAGCAGACCCACAGTCTATCCAGTCGGTTATCTTGGCTCCTACAGAGAGCCACCACCAGAAGACAAAAGGCTGAAAAAAGCCGGGTATAATTTTACTTCTCAACATCTACAGCAGAATGGAAATGTTGAGATTATTTGGGGTGTGTTTTTTTTCCTTTAATAACTACAGATGATTGCTCACTCCAACTAGTGATTAACAATCAGAAGGCTTTGCAGGGGGTGATTGCTTGACTGGATGTAAGCAAAGACATGACAGTCAGACATTACTTTAACATTCTTATGGCTGTTTCTTAGAATGGTGCAGTGTCTTGGATCCCTTGTGCTAGGCACAATATAAATGCAGAACAAATGCTGTGGTTACTGTTAGAAAGCAAAAGTAATTTCTTTCTTTTCAATGCAAGTCTACTAAGTACTGTTTCAAGACATTTGAAATTACTTGCGTTAGTGGTAAGAGAAGGAAAATGCAAAATGATTTGTTGTCTTAGTCTGAAACAATGCAGTGCAGGTATCTATTGTATTTTCTGCTTGTGTCAGAGGTTTGTGTCATGTAACCTGCTCAGGTTGGCTCATGAAGTCTGGTTATAGCAGTAAGTGTCTTTCAATAAGAATATTCCTCAGTTTAGTAGTGTCTTGTAAAAGGTATTAACTAGGCCTTAAGCTGCCAGTGATGCAGCTATATGTTTTAGCAGTCTCCTTCAAAAAAAGTCTCAAGATTCACAGTGTGCATCTGCTTTACCTGATCCTCTCACAGGGTTCTTGTTCCTGGTATTAAATTAATGAAAGTGAGGTGTAGTGTGAAATTGGTTAATAGTGGCTCTCTGGTTCCTACTACTCACGAGGTCATAGTTTCTGTGTCATGGTAATTACTAGATTTGAAAAGCGTGTTTCCAGCATTAGTAATAATATCAGGAGGTTTTCTCTCAGCCTTCCTCATGTCATGGTTGAAGGGACTGTGCTGGCATACAGGGGCACTACTGGGGAAGGAATTGCTGCTTCTCTTCATAACTTTTCCAGAAATTCTATTACTTAGGACAGTAATTAGAAGATTTAATGATAATTTTGCAGCTGGTGGAGCAGAGGGAGCACTGACTGAGGCATAGCCGAGCATGTTCTTCACTCTCTTGTTTCTGAGACTCAAAATAGTTTTCCATTCCTGGGTCCCAGGGGGGGTTCTAGATTTCATTCTCTTGAATATCTGTCCATCACTTAAATGCACAGAAGGAGCTAAGCCCTTAGAAAAAGTAAGGGAAAATCTTGAGAGGTGGCTGTTGTGGCCTTGGCTCAGATCTTTTTCCTGCCCTTTCAGGTGTATTTTACAGTAAGATGTTTCCTGCTTATGTGATTACCTCCTGTTCTTTGTATCTACTGTGGCAGAGGCATACATGAAAAAGATATAAAGTAGAACGTAGATGCTGAATTATGGGGTGATGAAAAGTTCAATACTTTACACAGAGCCTTTTTTCTCATTTCTAGCTGTAACGGAAAGCACCTGAGAATGGAATGAAAGGCATTAATAACCTCAGCCTTTGCCACTGCCTTCCCAGCATGCAGCAACTCTCAGAAGTATAGAAGAGGTCCATTGGTATATTTACCTAGTGTAGTGTGGCAAAAAAAAAGAAATCGTGAATTTATATTAGATCTCGGCTCAAAAGCCGTTTTACCAGCACCCCACTGTTTGCTAGCAGTGCTTGCCTGAATAGAAAGTAAGTTGATGACTAGTCTAAATGCCCTTCCTTGGTCTGCTCTGGTTTTCCAAGGCAGTGCTGGGAGAATTCAATCACAACTTCATTGTGTTCCCAGTTGATAAAAAGTGCAGGCCAAGAGTGGCTGTAATAAACCCCTTGCTGTTAGTCAAGCGATCAAGGGATACTTTAATGTCCCCTTCTTCTGAAAGCCTCTTGGCTAGGGAAGACGTACAGCCACACGTGCAAATGTAGGCCAGAAGTAGAATACACAGTATTCACAAGCTCTGGTTTCAATTGAATCTAGGCTGGGTTTTTCTGTTTACGACTATATCCTAGTCTTTGAGATGGAGTACTAGCATTTACCAGTATAGCTGCTAAAATCCAGTGAGAATAAAACTAGAGAAGTGGCATGGACCATGTACTGTTGTTATCCTTTGCAGAGCTCCACTGGCTCAGATTGGCTGCTTCCAGTTTATTTATGAAGAGAAATGCTGTATCGGAATGGTTGTTGGCTAAAGAAATCTGCTCAGACACCTTATCAGAAAATCCCACTACTTGCACTCTTTTTTAATGATGGCAGGCAGCATTCCTTCATTGTGTGTATAGCTGTATAGTTAAAGTCTAACCCCCACAGTCCATATGTCTGTTTCCCAAGCGCAGTAAGGAATGTTGCCATTGGCACATACAAACAGGTTTTCATTTCTGAAGCAGTGCATGTTTCTTAAAAACCCAGGTGCGTTCGGCGACTAAAACTAATGCCTCTGTTGTCTGGAGGTAAAATTAGCTGCTGTGGGAGAAGGGTTTCCATGCACTACAGCATGAAAACAGAGGGTGACAGATTAAGCATTTGCAATAAAGTTGCCAAGAAATGCTTTGGCTACATGGGGTAGTGGAATAGCTCTTTTAAGATGATTGTTTTCTGCAAGCTCATGGCATCAGTTTTGAAATAAAACCTCTTCATTTTGGCATCTTGAAATTTATACTTGACCTGGACTTGTTAGGCCGCAGAGCTGCTGCAGCATTAAGCCATAGCTGTAGGAAATCCTGAATCCAATTACATTTTCTGCCTAATGGGTCATAATTTATGTTATGAAGATGGTAGTGATGTTGCTGGGGGAAAAGGGCATTGGGCATGCTTGGATATGCATGCCAAAAGGCTGATTGTAAGTGAACATGAAAATGGGGAGGTACGCTTTCCTTTCTCACTACCAATGTAATTTGAGTCAGAAAGTAAAGTAGTCATACTGGATTATTCACAGCACAGGCTAGAAATCTTAGCTTTCATCTTGACTTAGCTTTGCTGTGATTGTTGATTTTCCCCTTATTGTACCAAAAACAGGGTTGTTTTTCAGCATCTTTGACTTTTTACTTTGAATTTCTGGTGACACTTCCCAAAATGGTATGTTCCTTCTCCTTTCTGCATTTAATGCCAGCTGGTTTCACTTTTGTAAGTAAAGGAAGGAAAAATACAGGTGTTTCTCAGTAGTGAGACTTTAAAGGTAGGCTTCTAAGGTGTGCATAGTTATTGGGGTAGAAGGCTTACCTGCTCAAGACAGGTCAGTCTTGAAAGCTCAACTTTTACTTCAGATATCTACAGACACACAGATTCAAAAATTGAACTTTGGACTTCTGTTGTCAATGTTAGCCTTTCTTTTGTTACGTTATGAGTAAAGGTGAGAAGGCTTTTACAGCAGCAATTATTGGAGCCTCTGAACTGTAACAAACATTTAACTGTTCACTTAGGAGCTTTAAATGTTACTTAATAAATTGTTCTCGTTTGGATGAGACTAAGGATTCTTGGTTCTGTACATTTAGTTTCTAAACAACAGATATCACTCACATGCCGAAGACAAGATCATGAAAGACAGGTTGACTGATAATTTGAAAACACTCTACAAAGGTCCCATCATTCAAAAGTGCCTGTATTTTGCTGATGCCCCCAGCTCCTGGAGTGTTCATACTGAAAACTACTGTCATTTTGGAGTATTTGCATCTCTGCACGTTGCTGCAGCTGCTGCCCAAAGACATTGAGTTTGTAATGTTGTCTATGCTCAAATCTAGTTGCATTGTAATGCAGAAGGAGGAATGTTTTAGATAGTATTACAAAGCAGAAATCTGGTGTGGAGGAACTCGGAGGTCTGGATCTGAGAGGTCTCTTTGTAGTACCTTTGCACTCGTTCCATACAGCAGAAACCTTCCCAGGAAGAGCACCCCAAAACACGATTCTCAATGTAAAATTCAGATGTTGGAATGGTTTGTGGAAAAACAACAAAAGTGATCCTACAGATATAGACTGTATTGTCCTTTCCGCACTGAATGTAATAAACCTTTAGCCTTTTATTATATTTGGCTCTTTGTACTTGAAGTTCTATTTGGGATTGAACTATATTAAAGTAGTATAGTTGAGAGAAATGAGATTGCTCAGAAATAAAACAGGATGAATGCAGGACCTATAGGGGCAACATGCAGTTCATTGAAAAGTGCAAGGAAGGTGAGAGAATACCATCAAACAAGGGATATGAGTTAAATAAAGATGTCCAAAGGGAGATTGAAAACGTCAGAGAATCATTTTGATTTCTTTCAGCAACAGTATCATCAAATATTCTTTCCAGAATTATTATCTAACTTTGATTATTTTTAAATGATTCCTTTGAGGCAGTGCTGGATTCAGTTGTAGGGAGCACAGAAGGTACAGTATCTTTCACTGACTCCCTCAGTTCCAGACATGCATGTAACAGATGCTCCACTCAGGTCCATGGAACATCTGCTCTATCTCTGCTGCCAAAAATCCTTCACTTTCCTATTGAAAAAGAAAATTAAATTAGAAAAAAAAAAAACCAAGAAAACAACAACTAAAAACTTAACATAAAAGCAAATGCACTGGTATTCCATGAGGAGGCAGTGGAAGAGACCAAAGTATTGCTAATATTTTCATTTCTGCTCTAGGAGGGAGTTAGGTGAAATGTGCTGGGATGAACTTGGAAGCAAGTCTCAGCCAGTACTGTGAAGGCAGAAATCACAAACTCAACAGTCATTGCCAGTATATATTGGAGGAAATTTCCTAGGTATGCTGTGTCTGTCATAAACGTCTCAAATTTGCTGGCTATTTGGACGAAGTTTCTGACTGGAAGATCAAAGTAGGAGCTCAAGGAAAATCAAGTACCCAGAGTATGCTCCTGACTTCCACTCTGCATTTGTGATGGTTGGTAGCTGAGGCTTGTGTGAATGCGGTGTCACATAGAGCAACAAGTCTCCAAAGCAAAGATTAATTTGCATTTGCTACCAGGATAGACCTTTGAGCCAGTTCCAGTTTGAATTCATAGGAGTCCTTACAGGCTGCTTGATGTTCTGGTATGTACACCAAGCGCACTCCCTAGTATTACAGTGTAGTACAGGTTTGAATGTAAACCAGCACTCTGTGTATCACTCTGTGTGATTTTTATAAGGAGCTGGATGAAACTCTGAATGTCAGTAACTTCTTTGGGGTCCTCACGGGTCCATGGTACTGTACGTTCACTTATGAAGCAAAGAATGCTCCACCCTGTGTTCTTCCATTGGATGAGTAAAGGAGCCATGTGGATTGGAAGGCTGGCAAAGATTTTTTTTGTTTGAGACCACTCCTGTTGTCTAACCATCTTCTGCATGCTCATTCTTTTCCAGCCTCTCTACAAGTGGACATTGTTCCAAGCCAGGGAGAGATCAGCGTTGGAGAATCAAAGTTCTTCTTATGCCAAGGTGAGTGATGGCTTATGGCATCAGTTGCCTTTATCAGGGTTTGCTAGGAAGGTCAATCAGTGTATTAACTCTGGGATAAAAGCTCCAGTGTCAGGTGTAGCTGCAGTATCTCTTGCTCTTTCTTTGTCCTTATGGTTTGTAAGACTTGAGTGGAAAATGCAACACATGCTGTTTACTGGAAACAGTAAAAGCATTCTCCCTTGAGAGCTGGCAACAGAAAGCAGCTCCAGCAAGTGGATTTTAAAATGAAAAAAACAGGTACTGAAATGTTGTCTTTCAGCTGAGCATTAACCACAACAATGGCACCTTGCGTCATTCTGCACCTCTTTCATCCTTGGAATCTAAAATAAGCCTGTTGTTTTTCCAGTTTATTTCTCTAATCAACTGCTAACAGCAGTAATGGAAGTGACTTGAGAATGGTTACCTCTGCATCTGAGGTTTTTAATGCTGCTGAAAACCTGCATTTCTTGTGACACAATTTACTGTTTGTTCAGGCCACCAACTGCCCCAGGCTGCTTTACTGTGCAACCTGGTTCAGTGCTGACCTGATCTGTGTGCCCCAAAGCAGTTACTACAATTTTAGGGCATTTTTCAAATTGGCATCCACATGTCCTCATGAGAGGTTCTCCTGAAAGCAGCTGGCCTGGTTTCTAATGGGAGAAATGAGTATGTTGGAGCACAGACATGATAGCATCCTGAAGCATGATAGAGCAAATAGGTGCTATCGTGAGCTCTGGGAGCCAGAGCTCACAATGCATTAGAGAACCACACTTCCTCAGGAGCATACTAACTAGGACAAGTAATGAGGGCATCTGATCCAGGAGTGCCTAACTGCAAAGTAATTTGTTAATGCCAGTGCTTTAAAAATGAAAGTATACTCTGGCCAAGTGCTGTTGTGATGGTATCTGCATTCAGAAACTGTGTGGTCAGTTAAAGCCCCTCCAATAATAGAAGTTTGTCCCAAATACCAAAGCCACACTGAGGAATGCGGAGATGTGAGCTGCAAGAGACAGCCTGGAACCACTTACCAACAGTTCTGATTTACACTGAATGCAGCAGGAGGCTGAAGCTAATCAGTGCCAGAACTGCTGCTACGGTTCACTGTCACATTTTGGTATGCAAAGTAACCCAGTCTGCAAGTACAAGTATTTATTAAAAACATTGTGAAGCTGAAGCAGGAAGAGATTTTTATTTTTCAGGCTGATCTGCATAGAGGAGGTATTGGGATATGGGATCTCAGGATGCATAGAAGGCCATTCTGGGCTGAAATGAGTGTACCCCTTTAGATTATAAAACCAACCTAATATCATTTTTGCAGGACAGCAGCTGACCATTCACAGTGCTGTGAGAGAGAATTTTCTTTGCTTGCTTCTCAGGTACCAGAAGCCCTTCCCCTGAGTCAGTCTTCTGCATAGTGCTACTGGTTGTATTTAATTCCCTCTGTGCAGCTTTGTTGGGAACTCATTTCAATTTGTTCTGTTTTCTTTTATTGTCCCTAGTGGCAGGGGAGGCCAAATACAAAGACATTTCCTGGTTTTCCCCTAATGGTGAGAAGCTGACGCCGAACCAACAGCGCATCTCAGTGGTGCGAAACGATGACTTCTCCTCCACCCTCACCATCTACAACGCCAACATTGATGATGCTGGCATCTATAAATGCGTTGTCAGTAGCATGGAGGAGGGAGACTCCGAGGCCACCGTCAATGTGAAAATTTTCCGTAAGAGACCGGCTTAGAGGCTATTTTCTGGTCTACCTTGCACATGTATGAGGCAAGATTAGGGAAGCGACCATTTTACCATACTAGAAAAGGCTACTTTTAAAGGGGAAGAAGGAGGGTGAAAATAAAGGGGGTATTGAGAAGATACAGCTTTTTCCTGTCTTCGTTTTGAGGGGTAAGTGGGAATTAGGATATGGATGACGGACATGCTATGAGATAAGACTAGTGTTCAGTAAAGAGGATCACACATTCAGAAGGGTTATAATAAACCATCAGCATATTGTCCAGCAAAGCCATGACAGCAGCTCCTCCCCTTTCTGCCAGGAAGCTGAGCAGTTCCAAGTTGATATTTTCTCTTTGCATTGTAGACAAATCTGTGAACTAGACAAAATATTAATTTGGCCCACTGAAATGCCTGGGAGGCAGGGATGGAAAATGGGGTTCCTGTGATGTGCTGCAGTGCATTGAGTCAGGCACACCTTTATCCTTCCCAGAGAACAAGATTTCTGCAGAACATGTCCTCTGGGGTAGTTTTGCTTTCCTCAGGCTTGAGTCAGGAGCACAGCTTTGAGGTGTGTCAAGAAATCTGCAGTGACTTTCTCCTTCCATTGTTTTCAGAAAAACTGATGTTCAAGAATGCTCCCACTCCTCAGGAATTTAAGGAAGGGGATGATGCTGTGATTGTGTGTGATGTGGTCAGCTCGCTGCCTCCTACCATCATTTGGAAGCACAAAGGCAGGGATGTTATCCTAAAAAAAGACGGTAAGGCACAAAAGGTGTCTCAGTGCTTGTCCATCCAGGGGCCAAATGTCCATCTCCCATCAAGGATCAGATCAGGCTCATACAAGGAGTTCAGAAGAACAAAATGGTGGCAGTCACAAGGGAGGACAGAAGCAATTTGTACGTGATGCTAGGTCTGACAACGTGAACGTAGTTATTCCAGGTGCTGTGGTTTGGCAATGGCAGGGCAATAATGTTCCTGCAGAAAAGGCCAAGGGGCTTTGATGCTGGAATGCTAGGCAAAGGAATGCTGAAAAAAATTTTTAGATAGAAGAAATGCCATTGGACAGAAAAGCTACATGTTGTGACCCTCTCTAGTTTTCCTAAGGAAAAGGGGCTGAAAATTCCTTGCAAGAATCTTTCATTCAAAATGCTGCAGACTGTCATGCTCAGAGGAGCATTTTACTAGCAGCAGGGCTTCAGAGCCCTGACTCCAGTTGAGCATTTGTGCCTCAGCTGTGTTTCCTATATCTACTCGATGCAGGCAACTACTTACTAGTGTAGTAAGATGAACTCTGCCACCCTGGGGCAAGTTTCAAATTGCTTGTTGTCTGATACTGATCAAATGTAAATGTGCTTTTGTATGTGTTTTTCTCTGTGTGCACTTAGGGTATAAAGCACCAGAGCAGTTTGCAAACATCTGGTTTCTTTCTTGGCAATGTCAGATCCAGTTGTGGCAGCGTCACCATCAAATGATGGGAAGGGAAGTTTCATTACACTAAACCTTATCTCAGCCTAGAAAGGGCAAGGAGAGAAGAACCTGTTGCCTGCAGTGAGCTTTCCTGAGGATCTGTGGATGAACCTTCCTTTTGTCTTTTCTAGTTCGATTTATAGTCCTGTCCAACAACTACCTGCAGATCCGGGGAATCAAGAAAACGGATGAAGGGACATACCGCTGTGAGGGCCGGATCTTGGCTCGTGGGGAGATCAACTTCAAAGATATTCAGGTCATCGTGAATGGTGAGCAGCTTAGAGCGAGGCTAATGTGGGGACAGCCTATGTAGCACATGCGCTCCGGGCTGCTGATGCCAATGTTACTTTAGATTCACATTCATGATTTGCCATCAGCTTACTAATCTTCTGTGCTGTGTCAAATGAAAATGTCCATGAAATTGACTGTTTACCAGATGTGTATGGGAAATTACCATGTCAAGTGAAACCTTAAGTGTTTTATGACTTAGAGTGTAGATCTTGTTGGGGCTCAGAAGTAGTTTGGTCTGCAATGCTGATGTTTTGTGCCTCTCTCCACCTCCTGCCCTTCCTTCCTTCTGCTGATTGCTTTGGAGAGCTCATGCATCAAAGCTGTTGATTGAAACCTGCGGGTGATGGCATGAGGGTTTGAATTACTAGTGGGATGTGTGCGTTTGTATTGCAGAGATTTACAGTGAGCCTTCCAGGGCTCATTCTTACATCTTCTGTCCTTTCTAACTTGAATGTGGATTCCTTCTCTTCTAGTACCTCCTTCTGTGCGTGCCAGGCAGAGCACTATGAATGCCACTGCCAACCTCAGCCAGTCTGTCACCTTAGCGTGTGATGCCGATGGCTTTCCTGAGCCAACAGTGACGTGGACAAAGTAAGATGCTGTGTGCAGTGTCCTCATTACGTGTGCTGATTGTGTGTGAGCATGGATGTTTTTGCCAAACCAGGCAGAAGGGAAAGCAACTTTTTAACTGGAAGAAGATTAATTCATTTTTCTCACAAGGGAAAGAATGACCTCCTAACGGAATTGAAGTTAGCTTGTTTTGGGTTAACTCCCAACAGGCACACAGACGCTCACTACGTGATGAGTATGGATGGGGAGGAGAATTTGAAGGGTAAAATCCAAAAACTCATTGATTGAGATAGATAAAGACAATTTGATAGAGATAAAGCAAACTCTGTGCATGGAAGCAAAGCAAAATAAGGAATTCATTCAGTGCTTCCCATTTGCAGGCAGGTGTTCAACCAGGTCAGCTTTCCTAGCTCCCAATTTCTTGTGCACCCCCAGCCTACTTGCTTAGAAGGGCAGTGTGAGAAACAGAAAAAGCCCTTTGACATTGTGTGTATTTTAGCAATAGCTGAAACATCACTGTTATCAGTGCTGTTTTGGTCACAAACCCAAAAACCAGTACAGATTCCTGGAAAAACAAGAACAACAGTAAAACCAGCATTTTTTCACTGTCCCATTGCATCCTTTGTCAAGCTGCCAATAGGGATGAAGCTTCATGTTCATCAGACCTGTCCTGTGGGTCAGTTTATTACCATCTGTTGCATGAGGGGGAAGTGTAGGCAAAAATGGATTCTGTAATTTGCATTTGTTATTCCCAGAGATCTCATCTGAATTCTTTCTCTTTGTTTCATCATGTCTAAATTTCACTGTCAGGCAGTGGTACAGACTGAGGTATGCTGTTGCTGAAACTGTGTAGCCTTTGGTAAAGGTTACAAGAGCAAGTTGTGTTGTTGAAAAAGCTGATGACAACTTGAAATACTGCCTTGGGAAGCAAGGACGGAAGCCACCTTCAGTGGTGTTTATAGCTCTTTCATGTAGGCTATGATGTGTGTCAGGAGGTGGAAGATTCAGCTGCCAAGAACCCTAAGGCAGGAGGGTTAGGAATAGATCAAAATGTAAGCTTTGTAGCTCTTAGGGAAAGGAAAAGATGGCGATCCCTCTTTACCTGAGGAGTTTCGGCACAGTAATGCAGTTCTAGCATTAGCAACAAGCCTAAAACAAACAGCCTTTGATTGCTCCTCCCCTCCAACACAGCCAGTGTGCTCTGTGCTCTGTGCTCTGCAGGGATGGAGAGCCAATAGAAGAGGCTGATGATGAAGAGAAATACAGTTTTAATTATGATGGGTCTGAGCTCATCATCAAGAAGGTGGATAAGAGCGATGAAGCGGAATACATCTGCATTGCTGAGAACAAGGCTGGCGAGCAAGATGCCACCATTCATCTCAAAGTCTTTGGTAAATATGCTTCTGCTGTTCCTCCCTTCCCAATCCAGTTGGATATTGGTAGCTCACTAGCACAAGCTGGAAGTAACCTGCTTATCCCAGTTAATACCTGATGTGGCTTATCCAGAGCTGCTGCTTTCCCAAGTAATGCATCTTTGCCATCATGTCAGGCAAAAATTCTCTGTATGTTTCTGAAATAGATGCCAACTCCATTCTGCTTGCTCTCTGATAAAAGAAATGCAGTCCTGCACAAGGGGAGGTGTGAAATTCATATACTACTTGGAATATCTTCCAGGCCCAGAGGGCTGAATCCTAATCTACCCAAAGATGTTATTAAAAGGGCTTTAACACCTCGGTGGAACTTGCTATAACTTGGGCAGGGAGGTGAACTCCACCCCACCACTGTGTTGCTTTTTCTTTTCAGCAAAACCCAAAATCACCTATGTGGAGAATAAAACAGCCATGGAGCTGGAGGATCAGATTACACTGACCTGTGAGGCATCTGGGGACCCAATCCCTTCCATCACTTGGAGAACTTCCACCAGGAACATCAGCAATGAAGAGAAGGTATAAGCCTTCCCAAAACCATGATCTCATTTGCTGGGATCAGTGCAGCTTGTACCCGCCTGCCTCTGCTGATCCAGAATGCATGATAATTGCACGCAGATGCATATGCAGATCATGGTGATTCCCCTCTCTGTAGCGAGAACGCTTGTGGTTCTGCACAGACTAACTGCTAGAAGGTCAGCTTCACAGCCAAAGTAATGCCGTAGGTGTCCTTTTGTGGAAAGAACCATCTCAGTTTATAACAACTGAGGATATGCTTTTTAATTCCTGCTGGTATCACTCTGATTTGAATTAACTTGAAAAGCAGTAGGACCTGGACCCTTTTCAGAGGATTTTCCAAAGGGATCTACAGTTGCAGGAAGCTTGTGAAAGGGTTCTTCCCTTCTTTTTCCAAGCTGACATAGGAATGAGCACCCTGATTCCAGTGCTGTCCATGCTGACATCATGATGATACGATCTGGGAGGGTGGCAGGTGGAGAGGTGTGGGGTGTTGTCTCTCAAAGTTGGCGGTGGACCAAAATGAGCCTGTTAATTCCTTCTGTATTGTATTCTAATACTGCATGTATCTGAAGCACAAAAGCCTTGGCTGCCTTTGTGTTCACCTGTTTTGTTGATCACATCAACACCATTTTGTCCTTAAAGGCAAAAATAATTAGCAGTTTTTCTTTTAAAAAAGTGCTTTTTTTTTTTTATTGGCCACAATTCCTCTTAACTAGATGAGATAAAAGGGTGCTGTATTACTGTTGATATTGCATAGTAGTTGCATAAGGTGATCAGGAGTGCAGTTTAGAGCCAAAGGAAGCCTAGCCAAAAGTTGGAATAAGATGTTATTGCTTAATAATAATTTTCTAATAACAAGATGCTTCAAGGCTCAGCTAACTTGGACATATGGTGGTTCTGGCTCAATATGAAGGCCAGTTGATAGGCTGTGAAAATCTTAAAGCGACAGAGGTGCCATCCTGCACTATAGGCTCCTAAATAGCTTTATTAATTGCCTCAATGATGTCATCTCTTCACCATGTTGTTAATGCGTAACTTATTAATCGGAGTGTCAAAGGTTTCCAGCCTTAATTCTTTCTTAACATCTTTTGGATTTGAGGACTAACACAAATCCTTGCAGTGTTTTGAGAGAGGTTTCCATTGCCTTCAAAGCATGGCTGGAGGACCTGATTTGGTAGGACAAGGTTATTCATGGTCCCGTCTCTCTCTAGGAGAGTGATAGGAGGAGCTAAGTGCTCTAGTGCTTCTAACACTAGAGTTGGATCACAGCAACAGGAAAGAGCTTTGAAAGGGAGAGGAGAATCTGAAGGAATACTAAATCAAATAGAAGTTTGTCAGAGAGCCTGTTTGCAGAGAGTCCCATCTGTCCAGCTCAATTAAATTAACAAGATCTCAGTGGCAAAACTGCTAACCATTTTTGAGACTCATATATCTTGCTTGATGCTGTTAAGTTGGTGATCAGTATTAAGGAAAATGTTAATACTCTGATAGTTTCTTACATATACTGGGGGCAAATTCCAAGTTTTGAGATACTACCACATGTTTTATGTACTGGTTCAGACCTTCAGGGCAAAGATGATATTTATCATGTCCCAAGCACATTTTAGGCAGGATTTTTATGTGTGTGTGTTTTGGTTTTGTTTTTACTTTTTCCCCATTCTCTGTCATGTGCTACAAGTTTAGGTGAATAGTAGGTATCCAGAAAATCCTCAGGTCAAGTTAGGTTTGAAAAACATTCTGTTACGTGTTCAACCAAATGCATATATCCAGTTTACTATTAACTTATTTTCTCTGGGATTGCACAGGGAAACGGATGGTCTTTGGTGTAGGACAAACAATACTAGTTTTAAAATATCAAGCCCTACTTTAGACTATGCTTTAGGTACTTGGATGCATCTGTCTTGCTGCATGTTGTTTACTTGTGTAGTTATAATTCAGGCCAGGTTTTAAAGGTCTAGAGGTGCCTTAACTCCTATGAACTTTTGGTATTTCAGAAAAACCAAGCAAAAACCCCCAAGCAAAGAGAACTCCATCTTTGCTTAGTGGCTTCCCCCTCTCAGTCTTTGTCCAAGAACAGAGACAGCCTGATGTGGAAGAGGGATGGGGGGTGAGCTAGGCTGACAATGTCACAATTGTTTCAACATTCCCACATTTCCCTGAGGAGACCTGTTGATATCCTGACATGCATAGCAGAAGATTCTTCTCTCTCTGGCTATACCTACATAGCGTGGTACCCCTTGTGCAAACAGTCTTTTGCTTTGTGGTCTGTGAAGGTTTGACGGAATACAGTCATTGTGACTGTGCTTAGCATGATCAGATGATTGGCAACTGTATACCAACACGGATGAGCAGACCAAGCTTCCAAATACTGGCATGATGGAAGCTTCCTCTTACTAGTAAGATGGCAGCTTGTATTCTTCTGCCCTGTCAATCTGGAATTCCTATGTCTCACTGCTGCAAAACGCAGCAGGAGCTAGCAGGCCTGGAAAGTTATCAGCGTGATGATTTGAAATGGCTTGGCTTAATCTTACCTCAAGTATTTATTGCTGTGCCGTTATAGGGAGTAGGAATGCTTTCTCTTTGCATGAGACCAGATGTAAAGCTGTTCAAGGCAGCATGCCATATTCCTTGTCGCCTTTAGTATATTTCATGCCCTTTCAAGAGACTTTTCTATTGCTCTAGCAGAATACTAACTGTGATTGAGTTAGTTTTGATGTGTTGTGTGCTGGTGTGTACGAGTTTTCCATTTTTAATGCAGACATGAGTGTATTTGCTGTCAGATTTCTGAATGAGGTAGTCACTGAGTACTCGTATACATGCTTTCATGAAACAGTAGTGGAGACAGCCCTAGGTTTCTTACCCAGCGGTATAGCTCAGTGTGTGAAGAGTGGGAGGGGTGCCAAGTGATGCTTTTGTTCAGGTCTTTTATCATCTTGCCAGAGGTGGCAGTAGGTGTATCTGTGGCATAGGATCTCACATAGGATTTCAAAATTTAATATAAGCTCCCATTTAATAACTTTCTTCTAAAGGGAAGATAAAATGCTAGCATGCATGGGGCTCTTGGTTCTGCTCTGTCCCCTGCATGGCGCTGAGTAGAGCTTGTGTATGTCTTTGTCTTTGTGAGGGAGAGTTAGTATTAAATTATTCAGGATAGAGAATGTGGTTCTGCCTTTTTTTTTTTTTTTTTTCCCCCACACCGAGTGCCCTAGGAGTGTGGGAACAGGCTTTTATCCTCCTCCGTCTTCCTTTAGATTGACAGGTACTGAACACCAAAGGATGTCTTCTTTTTTAATCCTCCTGTGCTGACACCATACTTTGTGAATAGGATTGAAAGGGGACTTGCATGCGTATAAGCAAAGCAATTCCCTTGGTAGCTTGATTTGCTCAGGTACAGAGAATGACTGGCACATCAAAAACGGATTATGCTGAACTATTACAGTTGCTTGTTCATCTTTCAAGGAAGTTGTGCACAATAGGATATATATATATGCACACACAGAAATGATCAGATGGTGGGGGTGTCCTACCCATGCAGGTGTTGGTGAGGTTCACTTCAGGTGACTTCACCTCAGGCCTCTAGTTACAAGCAAGTAGCTTGCTTTTATCTAAGATGGTCTAAAATGAGGCTGTCTGTACTATATGTTAATACTCTCACAATATTCCCTAGAAGCACTGTGGAAATAATACTATGGGATTTTTTATTCTTATTTCCTAAGCTTTCATCTCCATTTCTGTAATGTCACTCTTGTGTATGCTGTTATACCCCCATGTCAGCAATGCTTGTGCCTCACATTCAGTAATGCCATCATGGCTGTGATATTAGCAGGTGATTTTTGACTCCTGAACTGAAATGGATCAAGTTGCAATTGAAATAGAGACCAGAAGAAAAATATTTTAAAGATAAATTATAGGGGAAAAACAGAACCCAGCAACTTTTTGTCTTTCTGAACTATAGTGAATGTGGTCCAAACGGTTAATGGCTTTCTGTGAATGGGAAATGTATGTTTATTGGTAAGGTTTGTGCATGTTTCACAGCTGTTGTTTGGTTGTCCCAAGTCCAGTAAGGACTGGGTGCACATAACCCTAAGCATAAGGAGCTGGATGTTATCATCTGGAGGTACAAGATTCTACCCTGCTGTCTCCTGCCCAAGGGGATCATACTGTTGCAATGCTCTGTAGCTCAAGGTCTCCTACTCCTGGCACAGTATGCATGTAAAAATGTGTACAAATGCATGACCCCATTAAGAATATGAGTGTTAATGTTAATCAGTGTGTGCGGGTAGCTAACAAGCCAGTCTTAGAAAACCAGTTCCATAACTATTTAATGCCATAGGTCATGAGAATCACTTCCCCAGTATGCTTGGAACAGGTTTCTAAAAATAGTGAGATGTGACAAGGGAAATAGTCACTGGATATGTAAAACCAGAAGCAGTCTTTAGGTATCGTTAGCCTTTGCTTAATCATTTAAAGACTAATTTATCGATTATTAAATTTGAATGCAAAACTACATTGACGTTATAGTGGGAAATGGAAATTGTGATCACCCCACACACGTGAGATATACAAGTTGAAGCCTGCATGTGCACAGAACGCAATGTGGTGCATACAATATGATACCTAAAAGCAACCTTTGATAAACTTTTATTGCTTTTTTTTCCTGTTGTTGTTGTGTTCTATATCTGTTCTCTCCAGGCTTCGTGGACCCGACCCGAGAAACAAGAGGTATCAGATTACCAGACCTTTAGCAAACTTCTTAGTTAATTTGATTTTGGTTCTTTTTTAGGCATTACAGATTAACAAACCTCTAGTGCAGTAACCACGCCAACTAAACCAGCATTAATAATATGAACAGATTAAATATCAATACATAAAAGAAACAGCTTATAGAGTTAGAAGTTGCTTGCCATGTAGTAATGCATTTTTGGATGAGCAAACTAGCTGTGTTGGGAGTGAGTAAAAAAAAACAAGACAACTAAAAATAAAAGCAAATGTCAAATCTGACAAATGCTGCTTTCACCGTGTTCTTCTATGGTACCAGTATGACTCATACCTCTCTTCTAGAGTTTTAAGAATTAGCAACAGTGTGTATTGTGAGAGAGTGTTTTTTCCCAAAGATAGCCTCTTCTGCTCCAGCCAACTCATCTGTTTGCTCATGGTATCATGTTCCATTTAAAAATCAATGCAGATAAATCCTTCACAAATTGTATTTCTCCAAAAAATGCTCCAAATTTCCATACTTTTATTTTTCCTTGATCTGCAGGGTCATTGAGGGGGTAGCAATAGTGTAGTAACTCAGTTTGGGGCAGTTATGGTTTGTTGCTATTTCACACTCAGTGCTCTATTTTAAAACTAACAACAGCCTGCCTTTGCATGTACCTGATTTGTAGCATTCCTGCTTCAAAAATGGAGCAGGAAGTTTTGTTTCCAAGCAAATAATAGGTGTCAGGTAGGGAACAAACTTAGCTGTCAGAACTGGATGTCTCATATTTGTATGTTTAGGTGAGTTTTGTGGAGGCTCTGGGTATCCTGAGTTCTTTTTTATTTTTAAGCCAACCTAAAACACAGAGACTCGTGTGGCCTAAACAAAGTGAACATTAAGCACCACCTGCCTTTGTTTCCTATGGGGCTGAGAAGATACTGCCCATTCTTACTTCAAAATAATCCGTTGGAATTGATGAATTGTAAAGTGAAAGCATCAGGTATTCCACCACTTTGCCCTGGAGAATTTGGAATTTGAGTAGTTGCATCTCTTCAGGCCTCATGTGAACGCCTCTTACGGTTTTCTCTGCCTCCCCTCACTCCCCCAGTGTTTTCACTGTGCTCTCTGTTTCAAACTTTTTATTAATCTGAGCATTAATACTACTAAGCTTGCTGTCTCTAAATTTCTTACTGTATCCATGTCTTAAAATACCCAAGTGAGGTTCTGTGAGAGCATTGTTGAAGCTTATTGTTGCAGCTTGTGTAGACATATCTTTTAAGATAGCTGGCACAGGGTCTTTTAGCAGTGTATTGCAGCACCAGGGAGTTCAGTTCTCAGGAAGCTGAATGAATACTTGGCATTGAGTGTTTCACTTTTATTAATGCATTAGCTAGTTTAAAGTAAGGAAGTCTTCATGAGTTTCAGCCATAGCAGCATATATGGGTGTTAAGTCATGCTTTGGAGACATAACTGCAATGGGCTGCTTCTTCTCTAAACCACTTTCAGCTCTACTTACTATACACAGTCTATCATTCAATTAGAAACTTACCATGAACTGGCTTCAGTGTGCACTCGCAGCCCAGAAAGCCAACCGTATCCTGGGCCGCATCAAAAGGAGCGTGACCAGCAGGTCGAAGGAGGTGATCCTGCCCCTCTACTCTGCTCTTGTGAGACCTCACTTGGAGCATTGTGTGCAGTTCTGGTGTCCTCAACATAAAAAGGACATGGAACTGTTGGAATGAGCCCAGAGGAGGCCACGGGGATGGTCAAGGGACTGGAGCACCTCCTGTATGAAGATAGGCTGAGAAAGTTGGAGCTGTTCAGCCTGGAGAAGACAAGGCTGCGTGGAGACCTCATAGCAGCCTTCCAATATCTGAAGGGGGCCTATAAGAATCCTGGGGAGGGACTCTTTATTAGGGACTGTAGTGATAGGACAAGGGGTAACAGATTAAAACTTAAACAGGGGAAGTTTAGATTGGATATAAGGAGGAAGTTCTTTTACTGTCAGGGTGGTGAGGCACTGGAATGGGTTGCCCACGGAAGTTATGAGTGCTCCATCGCTGAGGATGTTCAAAGCCAGGCTGGACAAAGCCTTGGGTGACATGGTTTAGTGTGAGATGTCCCTGCCCATGGCAGGGGGGTTGGAAGTGAATGATCTTAAGGTCCTTTCCAACCCTAACTATTCTATGATTCTGTGTCTCAGTTCACCATTCTAGTCCTGCATATACTGGAGAATTGTTGGAAGTCATATTACCAGCATACACTAACAAACCCCACGTTGTCACCAAGAGATGCTAAAATACTCTGTTACAAGCAAAATTACACCTCGGTTACACCAGAAACTGGTGATGCCTTTCTGGTACCTGAGAATTAGTGCAACCGTACAAATATTAAGAGCTGCAGGTGAGTTCTGGTTAGCGCAGTGCAAGCACAGAGCTAGGAGAGACCACTTGTCTTCCTCCAGTGGAACTTATAGCAGTGGTCAGGCTTTCAGGGTGTAATGTCCACATCATTTTGTAATGATGTGTGAAAAGCAGGTGAGGTGAAGATACAACTGTATGAAATTAAGTCATGGATACTTCTTTGTGAAAAGACTGCAAAATCCAGAAGGTGGAGGGGAGGGGTTGAAATGCATTTCCCGCTTGTCTCTTTTCTTCCCCTTTGGCACTGAAGTATTGAAATCTAGGCCAGCTTTGAACATCCTGACTATGTGCCACATGGTATTGTCTGAATTTGGAGAAAAACACCAGCATTGTATCTTGGGATAAGTTGTAGTAATTGGCAATATAGAGAACCATCATACCCTTTTCTGTAAAGTGGCAGTTGCTATGGCATGAGTTCTGTTGCCTGTGTCCCTTAGGTTGTCTCCCTGTTACTGTGAAGCATTTTTTTTATCCACAGTCCTCAAAATCAAAGATGCTAGGAGAAGGGATGACAAGTATATCTGTATCTGGCGCACAAATTTGCGTCTCTAATAGCCAGGAATTGTTAGCATGTGATGGTGTGAAATCCAAATAAACGAAACATGCTTTCTTGGGTAGACATTTTTGTCTTCATTTTCTTTAGTTGAGTATTTTTTCAGATCTTTCTTTTTTGTTCCTTGAGCCTTTTGCATTAAGAAACAGAGTTTCATCTTCAGGGTCATTTGCGTTATTTGTAAAGTTATCATTTTACCATGACTACCCAGCACTCTTTTTGTTTGTGTTAGATGTTGACAAAGGGGGGAAAAGGCAAGTGACACTGGATGTAAATTACCTTTGCTGTAATGATCATATGCTGGTATTTTGCTATTTTTATACTAACAGAGTTTATACTAACATTAACTAGTAGAAACTTCAGTCTTGGTGGCTGAGACCACTAACTTGGAACAGAAAGAGGCTTCAGGCCCAGAGGATCTGACCAGTTGAGACCAGTAGAGATGGACTTAGTGCTACAGCTCAGCGCCTCTGGCTGTTTAATATATCCCAGGGCTTTTACTTATAATCTCAATTCTTGTCCTGTATCTTCCAGGAAAGTTAGTTTTCTTGGAGCATTCATTGCATTAAGTCTGCCAGGCAGCAGCAGCAGGCACAGCCATGAGGAAGAGGGTTCCTAATTTATTCACTTGTGCTTGTGCCACTTTGGCAACTAGATGAGAGAATTGGTGCTGTAAAGCTTCCAAGCTGAAGCACAAGCACAAAAAGCTTGCACAAGCACCAGGGTGGAGGGATGAGGCCATGGCCTCATGGAGCACTTGGGCTTTGGTCACAAATTGGAGAGAAACACAGTAGCCATCGAAGAGGTTTTCAATGAGAGCATGTGGCAAAAATTGACCAGAGCTGGATCTGTATGGTTCCTATTCTGGGAAGAAGCTTGACGTTATCTTCAGACATTTAGTAGCATCTGATACTTTGGTCCTTTGTCTCTTTTTTTTTTTTTTCCTTCGCCTGAGTGCTTTGAATCACTGCAGTTGATGCTGAGCGACAAGGGATCTTGTTGCTTTTGGAAATGCCTCTCTATGCCCATGACTTCACCTGGCCTCAGGTGATCACTTCTGAAGGCATGAGCATTAGAGGGCTGGTGAGAGGTAGACTGGCACTTGTTCCCATCCCTTTAGTCTGCAACCACAGGCTCAGTGCTCAGCCTCTAATTCTCTTTTCCTTTCTTGCCAGACCCTGGATGGGCGCATCATAGTACGTAGCCATGCCCGGGTGTCATCCCTGACTCTCAAAGACATTCAGTACACAGATGCCGGAGAATATGTATGTACAGCCAGCAACACCATCGGGCAGGACTCCCAGGCCATGTATCTTGAAGTGCAGTGTAAGAAGTGGAGAATGGGGTGGGGAAGGCGTTCATGTATTTAGAGGGGGGACTGTTTTTTTGATTTCCTACGGTGAGACTGAGGCACTTACAGCTAGGGATGTGTTGTTTGAGTAGTGGGCCTGGGAAGCAACTGGGTCTGAAATCATTTTAGTGGAGACATGTTGATGTGTGCGTGCATGCAAATGTTTGCTATAGCTGTCTCCAGCTGGGGTACTGTTTGCACTGTTTGCACCTTGGGAAGTTTCCGGGCCATGAATCTGGTACAGTCACATTTGTTGGGTGCATCATACTTCTTCCCTAGGGGAACTTCCTGGTATGCACTTCCCTAGATGCATAGCATGCTGTCTGCTCTGCGTCCCACACTGTATGAGGAACAACCTTTGGGACTGAGTAGCATTCCTTCTTACATCCTTCAGCAAGACATTGCTCACCCCACCCCTGATATAAGAAGGCAGTTCCCATTTTCTTAGTAGATTCCTTTCCCCACATTAAACTGGACCCAAGCCTTAAAGTGAGGCAGATTGGGCTACTTTAGGAGATTTTGTGGCTTAAATTGCCTTTTCAAATGTGTCTGTCTTTCAGATGCCCCCAAGCTTCAAGGCCCTGTGGCTGTCTATACCTGGGAAGGGAATCAAGTGAACATCACCTGTGAGGTATTTGCTTACCCCAGTGCTGTCATCTCCTGGTTCCGGGATGGACAGCTGCTTCCCAGCTCAAACTACAGCAACATCAAGATCTACAACACTCCGTCAGCAAGCTATCTGGAGGTGAGCAAAAGCAAGGAGAGGAGAAGGCACATGCAGCCAGGAAGGTTCATTACTATCAAACAATTGATGCTGCTGATGTTGAAGGAGTTAAGTCTTCTGTCATACCTTACCGTGGGTAGACAAGTTGTGTGGTGTTTCAGGCACATAATTGCTAAGAAAATTGGGTAATAGAAGACACCACCCCTCCTTGCCTTTGACTCTGTGCCCGCTGCAGCGCTCTCCTCTGTGGACAGCCAGCAGAGTGTTAGCACATGTACTTCATTGTGGCTTCCCTCTCCTGCAAAGTGCAGAGTGGAAAGTGTTTTCTAATCTGAGCATGAGCCTTCATTTCTTCCATAGGTGACACCAGACTCTGAAAATGACTTTGGGAACTATAACTGCACTGCTGTGAACCGCATTGGCCAGGAGTCCTCAGAGTTCATTCTTGTGCAGGCAGGTGAGCATCCCAGGCGGGGAGATAAGGAAATGCGTATGCATAATGCTCTGTTCTTTAATTTCTGACGGCCATTGCGTATGTGCGTAAGTGTGCAGGTGTGCTTTTGCACATCAATGAAATATCCCAAATAGTACAGGGATATAGTACAAGATGGAAACCTTAGAGCACTCTGTGGCAACCAGAGGCCCAGTATCTCACTGCATGATAGATTGGAAGGGCCTCTGGTGTCCTCTCAGGGCTGCTGTAAGGACATATTTAGGAATGGTCAAGCTATGCATTGGACTGCCATATGGAAGACACTGTAGGGATAGAGTATCATCCAGGATGCTCTTGCTACACTGCTCTGGTTGTCCTCTTTTGAAGAAGGTACTCTAACTCTCTAGCCTTTTAGAGGAGGGACAAGATGGTCTCTTTGCTGTCTGATTAGCACTTAACAGTTTTCCCCTCCTGAGGGGGGCCTCAGGCCTACCCGTCTCCTCTTCTTTGTGAAGCCATGACAAGGGTATGTTTGATATTCGCAGTTTTCTGTTTTCTTTGCCACTGGAGCTTATTTCCTGTTGTCTTCTGCATCACTAGTTGTTTTCCCTTCCTTTCCCAGATACTCCGTCCTCTCCTTCCATTGACAGAGTGGAGCCGTATTCCAGTACTGCCCAGGTGGAGTTTGATGAGCCTGAAGCTACCGGCGGGGTGCCCATCCTCAAGTACAAAGCAGAGTGGAGGGCACTGGGCGAGGGAGAATGGCATTCGAGGCTGTATGATGCAAAAGAAGGTAGGGTGATAAAATGTTACCTCCCCCACCTGCATCTCAAAAGGCTTTCTTTCCTTTAGGGGAAAGCCAGAGTGGAGGGTTCCATAGCTTTGTAATTTCAGCTCCTAAGTTAAGGCCCCGGATAAGTTCTTAAAACATTTGCTTTGCAGTGGCATATTTAATTTCCAGTTGATAGCTGATAGCTCGATGTATGTGACAGCCTTCGCTGTTTACAGAGCATGTGTGGCATCACTATGTTCGTCTTTTCCTTATTCACACTATTCTGTCTGAATGAGGTGAACAGCCCGGTGCCTGGTATTGAATGAGGTTTCATTTCCTGCCTGGGGAGTGACTGTGTGCTTCCTAATCTTTCCAAGCCTTGTCTGTCAGCTCTTCCAGTTACCCTTCAGTTCCCTTTGGAACATAAACCCTCCTATTCCAGAAGCAAGTCTAACTCCCATTACACCCTGTCTCATTTATAGCAATCTGTAAGAATACACACTGCTTAAAATGTATCCTTAAGTCCAGTAAGCCAAAGGAATTTTGATTTGGGAGCACTATGAAGATCAGAGTTCAATTTCAGAGCTGAATCTTCCAATCCTGGCTGGAGCCGAAATTCTTCTTCTAGGTCTCTACTGGAGTGATGTGATCATAGCTAGAGTCATGTTTCTTTTTCCCATTTTTCCCTTTGTGTCTGTGCAGGAAAAATTGAGCTTACTTCTTTGTTAATATCACAGTGACCCCACAGCAGGTTCTCTCCATCTCTTACATTGTGTATGACCTTCTTATAGATTGTTAAAGTGGAGGGATGGGTGTCTCTCCTGCTAATGGCTTTGCTTTCAGTTGGATGATGCAGCCCAACGGCTGAGTAGCTTTAGGTGGGATGTCTACTGAAGTTAGAGCCCCGCATGATAGTGGTCTTGAAGAGGAGCTCCCTGGCACAGGCCAAGGGCTGATGCCCTCTGGTGTCTACCAAACACTCTGCTATATCCCTTCTGCAGAGGCTGTGGCAGTACACCTCTCTAATCAGCAGGTTGACGCAGAGGTGGTAGCTGTGACCTTTCGCTTTGGTTGCACTGTTTATGTGAGGCTGGGCCTGTTACATGTGGCCAACATGGCTAAGTATACTAGGGAAACATGGCATTTGTTGTTGATCTAAAGCCTGAACCTTTTCTTTGCTTTTCCTGCTCTTGTTTCTGCAAAAGCAAATGTGGAGGGCATGATCACTATCACTGGCCTGAAACCTGAAACAACCTACTCAGTGAGACTGTCTGCTGTCAATGGCAAGGGCGTGGGTGAGATCAGCCTGCCATCCGACTTCAAGACACAACCAGTTCGTAAGTAAAATTGAGTCCTCCCTCTCCTTCTCTGGTTCTCTTTCCTTGCATCTCTCCAGGGAATTTCTGCCATGCATGAATGACACCTTCTTCTCTTGCAGAACTTACCTTTGTTTTATTGTGATTTTTGGTTGTAGTGAATTTCATTGCTAATTAAAAACCTTCTTTGATAGGAGGCAGGGGAGCTATTTTATCTGCACTAGTTTGTGCCATGGGTTACTATTATAAACTTTGTATTGTCAAAGAGAAGGGGCTATGCAATGGGAAGTTGTAATAAGAAAAAGTAGTGAGTTGAGAAGGGTGTTGGTCATAGGGAATGTAGCGTCATTGCCACAAGGCAGGTTTTATGCAAATCAGAAGTTAAGAGGCCATGAGCTGTGGAAGGAGGGGAAAGGGGTTTCTCTTGCCTGAAAATCAGTCCTTTAAAATTCTATGTAGCATGCAAGGTAATTTCTGCAGCCTCTTGTCTACTTCACTTGGGTAATCAGGATGCTCTGATTTGGCCTTTTGCTCCTGTTTCAACGAGAAACAAGAGAGGCAAGAATTAAAAACCAGAGAGAAATTCAAGACAGGAGGGAGACAAAGAGGGAAAAGCAAGTGTAGAGTGCGTAGGGGTGATGTGATAGAAGCAGGCCAGGGAGAGGAGATCTGATATCCTTGTACACAGCCTCACCCAGGTTGGGAACTGTATTCAACCACCTGCAACCCTGGGGTTCTTTCCCATTCCCCTTGCACTTAAAGTTCTACAGTCTATTCTTCTTCCTACTGTCACACCTATACTTGTGTATCTATTTCATAGCTCTTCAGAAACCCACTATGCAGGAACTTCTGAATTCAGAGCTAGCAACAGTCCTAGCCCTGCATGCTTTGAGTCCATGTGGTCTGTGCATGGTCTTGATTTTGTGTGCCAACTTCTGCCTCACTAGAGTTGCTGAGCAGTATGGGACAGTATATACATCTTGATGCTTGGAAATCCCAGGCCCTCTACACTAAGCCAGCCCTCGCAATTGATGTCTGATCTGTTGTGATAGCTACTGTAACCTACCCCATTCCCTAGGGTTGGATTTGAGACAGCTGGTGGCATTTGGATTTTCCAGCTCTGTGTTCTCTATCGCCTCATCTTTCTACATTTATTTTTTGTTTTTCTATCTCCGTCTTCTCTTTTTGTCTGTGTTCCATCCATGGAAAAACTGCAGGCATCCCTCACCCACGTAAGTGCCTCTCTGCATTCTTTCGCTCTCTTTTTGTGTTTCTAGAGTGTTCCTCTAACATACATAACATTAGCTTTTAATCTAGTACCTTTTCCTCTCAGGATGTTTAGAAATGAAGTAACTGGTACTGTCCACTTCCTAACAAGACTGACACTAGAATAGCTGTCCCACTATGGGTAATACTGCTCTATTTAGAAGAGAATTAGGGGTTAACATCTTTGTCTTTATTGTAGAGCATGCAATTCAAATATTTAACTTAGTGATTGTCTAATAATAATAGTTAGCATGGTGACTAGAGAATGGAGTAGTGGAAGGCTTCATGTTTATGAATTAATTAAAAATTTTCAATTTTTAATGAAATTAAGTTATTCAAGGGAGGAAAAATAATAACAGGAGAAAGTTTTAGCTAAATTGCAGATCTGGTTTAGACCAATTGAAAACCAACAAAAAACTTCAGAATTTTGAATATCTTCATAATTTTGACAGCAAAACCTTGAAGGAAAAATTCAGGTTTTGCTCTTCTCACTTTTTACTGTTCGTGGTCTTTGGACAGTCTTCCAGCACTTGTGTAGATTGTATACTCAAGTAAATAAACCTCATACTAAATAAAAAATGCATGTTTTCCCCTTCCCAGAGCAAAGTGAATTAGAGGTTTAATGGATATGCTTATTGTCAGCTGGGTTCAGTGAAACATTTTGTGCTCCATAGCTTTGTGCCTTTCAAATCGGAGTTAATCAATAGTAGCTAAAAGAAACCTTTCTATCTAAGTGAGCATTATTCTGTTTATCATATGTGTCCTTGTGGTGAACAGTTGATATTCCCAAGATTACGTCATGAGCAAGCTTTATGAAGCTGCTGTCACTTTTCTCTTTAGATTTCTGAAGCTAATTACAGGATTTGAATGCTGCTTTTCCTTAAAGATTTTATTACATTAAAGCTTGGATTTAGTGGACTTCTTAACAGGATGAATGAATTGGTAGTCAAGATGGGTGAATGAATGGTCAGATGAATAGACAGAATTGCAAAGTGCAGTAGTTACGAAGAGTCAGCTGGGAGCCATGTTTCCAGAAGACATGCACAGTCCTTTGCCTTAAATTGCTTGGAGCCTGTTAATTTCAGTAGAAGTATTATATCCCTTACATGAAGTTAATTGTGGTTAGTATTATAACTCTCAGGCAAATGATTTGGTAGGCCCTTCTGAATTGGATGTAGTCCATGATACGCAAGGGAGATAAGGGCTTTAGATATTCAGTCCCTGTACAGATCAGTACCACAGGAAAAGGGAAAAGAGCCAATTAAGAAGAGAGGAAAAAAGAGCATTAAAAGCTTTGTTTCAGCCACATGGACACGTCTGTCTGCCAAGCCTCATGTTCATCACTTGGGGACAGGTACGTGGATTTGAAGAGCATTAAATCACACTCGTAGTGGAGTTCTTTTCCTTTTTGGATTTTTTGTGGCGACCAGCTATCAGTCAGTCTCTAGTCCCTAACTCTGCTCCCTTGCAGGGTAAGTTATAATTCTTTTTTCTTCATTGTGCCTTGAGCTGTGATCCTTCTGAGCATTCAATTCTCTGATCCCTTCTCTGCTCTCTGGGGTTCTCAAGGCCCATCTCAGACCATGGACTGGGTTGCAGTGGTAAAAAGACTGTTGGTACAACAGAAACCTTTATTCCATCTGTGCTGGAAGTCCAGTCACAGAGTGTTACCTTTCTTGGACAAAGTCAAAAGCAGGAAAACGTTGGGTGTCGCCATGTGTGATATGATTTGAAGATCACAGAAATGTTTCAGAAATTTTACAGGAAAGAATATAAAAACTGTGTTTTGGCACCAGCCAAAACCTAGTGTTTTCACACTAGGTATAATAATGAGTTTTCCTTACCCTGTTATTTAAAGTGTCTACTTGAATGTGAGAACTGACGCTCTTCTTAAATGTTTTTTGGGGTATATCCATACTTTTGGGGGGGTTGGGTTATTTTTCTTGGTGAGGTGCTATGCTAGCACAGATGAGAATTGTGGGGTTGGGAGGATATCTGTCTACCTGGACCTGGATTTGTATTTTCGCAACAATTTGCTGGTTTTCTGCACTTCCTGTTTTTTATAAACCTGAAGGCAAACAAAGGCTGCACACAGACCTTGTGAATGGCTTCCTTTGGAGCTCCAGCTGTTTCTTGCTGGTTTGCAGGTGGGACCCAGATGTGTGTTAAGCCACAAGAGTGTGTGTGTGCATATGGTGTGTTTGGTTTTGCTATCAAAATAGCTTTTTTTGTACAAAAAAAAAACGCAAACCAACAAAACACTAAAATAATTCCCAAATTCCACTACATCCTAAGCTGGCAGTAGGGCACTTAGCAATGGCCTTCACCAAAACAGTAGTTACATACTCTGTGTTTTGCTTATGTACGGTGCTGGCCAGCATCTCTGCTGGCCTTAAATGGCATTGGTTTGAACTCCTGGGAATACTGGTGAATAGTGGTGTGTGTTCAGTGATCCTATGTGATCAGAAAGTTGGTCTACAGCGAGAACTCGCAGAGGAGCCAAAACGCAGGTCTGGCGAAGCGCGTTTACTTTGAGTTCTATGGCCAGAGAGGCTTGATCTGACAAAATCTTACCAATTTGTGTTTTAATTTTCTGTCTTTTGGCAGTAATTAATAGGAATCCACCCCCTTCCTCACCTTCCTTTCTCTTTCTTTAGCAAGTACTGCTGCACCCACTTCCCGTTTAGCAGACAGTGAGTATGGTAGAAGAAGTTGTTGTCCTTGTTCCACTTTGCTCTGCATGCATCTCCTCACTGAGTGTGGTGCAGTCTGCCTAACATCCTTGGGTGTTTTCCTTCTTTTCTGTATCTATTTTTTCCTTTCCCCGGAGTGAAACCTGAATCTTCAGGTACAGGAACTGCAGATAAGTGTAAGTTTGATTTTTCAGGACAGAGAAAAGCCACAGACTTTTTCTGGAGCTGTGGAAGAAAACACATTTCTTTATGTCCTTCTTCATAATTTTTTAAATCTGCATAATTGTATTTAGACTGCAGACTGCATGAGGGTGTATCCTGTTCTCCCTTCACACCAGCCACACTGATACCACCATGGGAGAAAAAGGAACTCATAGAAACAGAACTTCTCAAGTTGGAGGGGACTCATGAAGACCATTAAGTCGCACAGAACTACCTAAAACTAAGCCATATGACCAAGAGCATTATCCATCCCAGTATGTCTTTTACCCCTCTCTTAGCTATAGTTCTCTGCCCAGTCATCAAGATGTCACAGTGACAATTCTTTTCCTTTTGAAGATGTTACCTAGAATAGTAGAGAAATCCCTCACAGCTTGTGTTTCTCATGCTGTATTGTTCCCGTGCCTTTTGCAAGTAGAGACATTCATCTTTGTCCTTCTTTTCTGGTAATCCTTGTATTCAGTGCTTGTAAAGACCGCCTTTGCTCTTGAGAGTGGAGTGCTTAGCAGGATTCCCAAGGGGCTTTCAGCTTCTCTCAAAACTGCCTTATTTCTTAAGGGTGCTCACACCTTACTGGATGGTTAGATCTTTTTTTCTGCCTCCGTGTGTGTACCCTGACCCTAGTGCTTGGAGGTAAGAAAAAAAGGTGTATCAGAAGCATTAGTCTTTGCTCCTATTTGGGCCAAAAGTAGGCAAAAATGCTGTAGCTGCCTGAAACTGGATTCAGAGATTCAAAACTCTCCTGGATCAAAAAGCATGAGTAGGGACTCTTGGAGCAGTAGCTTGCTGCAGGAGCCATGCAGTGGCTTCCCTGTCAACTGGAGGGGTCTGCATCTGGCAGCACCATTCTCCCTGTGGAGAAGGGCTGGAAAACAGCAGCAGAGCACAGTTTTTTGCAGCCTCTTCAGGTAATACACACCTGCCATAAGGATTCAGTATCATTCTCACTCTTCCTCATTAGAACTCCTCTCTTTCTATCACCCCTGCCTCTTACAACTTATTTACATGGTATGCTTCATTTTTACGTGTCCTGTCTGTCCTTCATGTTTCCATAGCAACTCAGCTTCTTGCTGAAAATGGAAGCTCAGAGCCACCAAGTGAGTAGATGGGAACTGCTCCCCTTTGGTCCGGAGTGCTATTTGTTATGCTGTAGTCCTTGTATCAAGGGAATTAGAGCACTATACCACATTATATCAATGTCTGTTAACTAACAATCTGGCATTAATATGTTGTATGAGCATGTAGCTGTTAAGAACCCAGCATGGTGCTACTTTTCCTTTTTCTGTTACCTTACCGAGCCTGCAGTAACAATGGAAATACAAGCTTTAGAAGAAACATGAAGGGGGGGGGCGGGGAGGGATATTTAAATTATCGTTTCCAAAAGGAATGTTTTCCTTTCACATTTTCCGTGATTTCAGTGTTATAGATGCCTTTGCAAAAGGAACATGGACTAATTAATCTTTTTGCCACCTTGCCTTGCTCTATTTCTGTGAATTTAGGGAGCTAAAGTTGATATTACAACAGTGGATGGTGGATGTTGAAAGAAGATGCAGATGAGGAGGTAGAATGTCTTGTAGATGAGGAGATAGAATATCTTACAGGAGAGCGGACTGTGGGGAGAGGGAGCATTGCCCCGTCTTACCACTAATGCCCTGCCTGCATTAAAAGGTTTAGGACTACACAAGAAGCCTATATCTGAAATGGGAATTGGATTCAGAATCCCTCATTTCTTGCTCAGAACATTGTTGGTAAGGTAGCCATTCCTAGTGAGACTCAGGCAAGCAGATGATTCCATGCTGGATCTGAGTAGCCCAAGTTAAAAATAGCTAAAATTTGCAGATGACTTGATTTGTACATGAAATAACTATTCTGCAATGTCTGATTTAGTCTACCTGTTAAGAGTTCAGTGACGCATCTTCCCGGTACTGAGTGGATGTATCAAAGACTTGATTTAATCTCTACATGTAGGAGATTTATAGTCAGTCACTTGCCAATATGAAAGCCAAGTGAATATTTGCAACAGTCCTGGAAGATGAAGAAAAACACTTAAGGAAAAGATATGTTTACATGGTGCATATGTGTCTTTTGAACAACTAATCATTTCTACAAAGCCAAATGCTTTTCTTTTGATTTACAATAATAAAATTAATGTGTTTCTGTGACTATGGTCTTAAAGATGAAGACGTGTGTGTTTACCTGTACTAGGTTAGAAATGGTTTGTCACTACTAAATGGAAAATACTAAAAGCATGAAGCATGTGGTTATCTGGGGGAGAGGATAGCATGGCTAGTCTAGAACTGTCAAAGGAATTAAAAATACTGCATTCATGACTAGCACATTCCATGGTCTTAAATAGCACATGAAATGTCTTTTTATCTGCCAGTGACCACAGCAAACGCTTTGATTCTTGCAGTATTTTTCATGTATACGACATGCCAAACCATGATTTGTGATGCATCTGAAGTGTTAATGATTCTGTATTGCTGAAGAGAAGTTTTAATTTGAATTTGATGGGGTGGAGAGGGCAAAGGGCAGGGGAAAAGTGGCAACTAGCACATCTGCGAATTAATCTGTTATTTCTTAGGAGGCAGGAACTCTCATAGAATCATAGAATGGTTGGGGTTGGAAAACTGCTTATATGTGGAGTTAGGAGATGCCCTCACTTGTAAGGGAAAATGTTGTGTTAAATGTTTTGTTCCTTAAAAAGATGTCTTTTTTTCTCTGGGTCTTTTTACCCAGAAACGATACTAATAGCCCATTCAGGGTGAATATTTTCCATGCTCTTTTGTTGTTTGGGTAGGTGGGGGAGTTGTGTGTTTGTTGACTGGGAGTACATTGGGCTTTTTAAGGGTGAAAGTTCCCATTTTCACCTACTCTGAAATTCCAGCTCTTACACTGAACAGAAGCAGGTCTGACCTTTCACTGCCGCATTGTTGTTTGTGTACGTAGTCAATTTATGCAGCTAGCAGACACATTTGTTTTATGTGTTACATTGTTCTGCAGCATATGAATATACTGTATTCAACAGCCTAAAAGGGCATTGGCACAAGGCAGATGCTCTTGGAATTTTGGATCATTTGCTGCTGAATGATCTTGTGTCTTACCTAACCTAACCTCTGTGGTTAAATGAATGAAACCAGGAGCGCTTAGAAATTGAGAGCTGCTGTGTAGCCTCTTGAAGTCAGGAAAATGAATAATGAAACTAATTAAAACCTAATGAAGCTGAAGAGAGTTTCCGCACTGACTTGAGTGACTTTTTGACTTTATGTGATCAATAACCTATGGGAGATGTCTATAGTATTGTAAGGCGTTTGGGAACATATATCTCCTTGGACTTAATCCTCTTAGGTTGCTTGGATAAATAGTTCTGTATCAGCAGCAGTAATAAAGTTTTTCTTTCAGCTCTCTCCACTGTGGAACCTGTTTTAAACAGCAATGTTTGAGGTCACTTGAAAAAGTTGGGGTTTTTTTCAGTTAAAGTACTAATTTGGGTCTTTCTTCTACCTGTCTCCTGGTTTTCCAGAATCTATAGGAACTTCTGTCATATTTACTAGATAGTGGCCAAGAGATTCAAAAGTTGCAGGATGAGGGAGGTGGAGGCCACTGAGCAAGAGACATGTGGGTGGAAAGCCAAGTGGTTTTGGATTTTTTCTGTAAAATCTTTGCTGTGCAGTGCATCAGTCAATTCAAAATAGGTTGCAGTCTTGGGAGAAAGTTCACATGGGCATCCCAAGGAGGCTCCAAGATAATCAGTGTTCTGACTACCTGGTTTCTACCCATTACAACAGGATAAATTCCAAGGTTTTAAGCGTAAGACAGTATTTCCAAATGTCTTCTGTGTCTTAGAAGCCTCATGCAAATTCTTTCAGGTACATTTGTGTTGCTAGTTTTGCCCTTGATCTTTATCTAAAGCTTTCTCTCAGGAGGAAGTGATCTGAAAGGCAACTTCTCTTACCTGATTTTAAATCTCCAGTTATATTAAGCTTATTGGGGTTTTAGAAATATGTTTCCTCACCAAGTGCCTTTCCAGGCAATCTCACAGTAACTCTAAAACTTCCTTCCTTCATGATGCACCTGCCTAGAGTTCCGTGAGTCTCTGTTTATAACTAGAGACAATGGATTCAAAGCTTAGGTGTAACAAATCAATTTTGCTTTTTGTACAATCAGTTCTTTGCCCAGTAATGGTATGCTTAATCTTGTCAGATACAAGCACCCACAAGATTAAGGGTTTAATTCTCTTTACATAAAACGAACTGGGAAGTACAAAAGCACTTTGAACTAGCCTCATTAAGATGAAAAAGAGGAACAATCATAAAAAATGCAAGTTATGAAGCAGATGGTAATTGAGGAAGGGAAACAGCATGGAGTTAGCGATGTCCTCAAGTCTGACAACTGATTTTATTTTTTCTTCATTCCCCTCTCATACAGTCTGTGCACTTTCATTTCTTTCAGTAGTGGCTTTCGTCTTTGTGCCATCCTTAAAATTAATTTCCAGCACAGAGCACTTCATTCCTTTCCTCACTGACAGAAAAGCCCCTTGCACGTTGTACATGACTCATGCTATTCCTCGAATCTTTAGGCTGAATGTGTTGGACAGAGCGTGCGTACTCTTGAGTGATAACTCAGTCTGACCAAATTCTGGTTGCAGCTCTTTGATTGAAAGCTCGGGCTTTAGAAATGTATACACATATGAGGTTTTTCTCTTTTTGAGTTGTTGTTGTTGTTGTCGATAATTAGGAAGACATTTATTTCCGCACAGGGGAGTGTACATCACTATAAAATGCCAAGGTTTGTCTTCGCTGAACCGTGTGGGCTCTGGGTTTGATTGTTTCCCCTCTGCTGTGAGGACAGTGTCTGAATAACAATGTATTCCCTTTTTCTTTCCAACAGTGAATTCCTTCAGCTGTCCGAGTTGTGGCACGTGCTCTACAGCCATTTTTGTTCCTCCTTTGACTCGGTATTAATAAGCAGTGGTGCAGCTGTGCCTAACACTTGCAAGGTCATAACTCAGTGCTTTCTGTGATTTAATACCCTTATATTGCAGGCGGTCTTAGTGTCCCCGCAGTGTTTCTGGTATTTACGCGCTGCTTTGATTTGGTTCCTGTTTGATTTAAAATTCTGTTGTGGATTTTTCCCTTGCCCATTGTTTACATCAGTTTTTTAATTTTTTTGTATTTTCCATGTGACCTCCTCCACTTTCCTTTCCACAACCAATCATGTGCGTGCGTATCATGTGCCTTTGTCATGTGGCTTGCATGGTGCTGATGATGTCGTCCACGCTGGTGAACAGAAGGTAAAATACTTTGTTCTGATTGGTTGCATAGATTTGGGGTGAGGATTCCCCTCTGGTCAGTGACCGGGGATCTCCAAATTCCACCACTCCAGAATCTTCCTCCAGGCCTTTTGGTGAAGTCGGTCACCACTGTCTGCATGTGAAGCACTCAACTTCAGTCTTCCACTGAGCTTGGAAAAACTCAGGGGGAAAAAAAAGAATCAACAAACCCAAAACCGAGGCAGAAATCACATGGCTCAGTCATTTGCTTCTTTCACTATCGGAATCCAATAGTTGGTGTCCTAGTAATGTTCTAAAACTCTCTGGCATTAACACCAGCGGCACAAATCCTTTTGCCTTTCAGGACACCAGTGTGCCAAAGGCTGTGGGTAAGATGTTCATAAAATGTCAACTCCGCATCTCCTGTTGCTTTAGCAACATTTTGACCCTATAGAGTATGTTTAGATTTACAAGCACAAAAGCACACTATGGTAGCCTGCCAAAAGGATCAAAAATGCCTTATCTCTGAAATTTGGTTATTGATAAACATGTCACATTAAGATTTAAGAAATAATTTTTTTATGAATAAATATTAAACATAGGTAGAGTGGGAGCTATGTTTTGATGAAGTAGTATATATAGAGACAGAGTATGTGATGAGAGCTAGACTTAGCACAATTTGCATCAGAAATACTATTGCACTTTCTTGCCATTCCTCCCACACGGCATCCCAGAGCCCAGCAGAGGATTTAGTCTGAACTCGTTTACCAGCAACAGGTAGAGTAGCTGGTGAGCTCCATGAAATCAAGAAGCAAATGATTGACCCTTACAGGAGATGAAATCAGTCTCCAAGTGTATGGTAATGGCAACAATTTCTGCAACGTTGTGACTTTTACAACTTCACCTAATACTCTCTGCATAATCTAGAAGAGGGAAGGGAGGGGAAACTCCCGCTTTTCTGCTTCCCCAACTAAAATAATTTTGAAAACTAGGAAGCAATTGGCTTTTTTCTGTCTGTGAATTCTGAAATCACCTTATTGTTTTGGACCACCACCAGGAAAGAATTTAGGCTGGGTTTTGCCAGGAAAACAAAACTAACACCAGTAACCTTCCCACATGACTGCATGCATGGGAGCAGCTTCTCTTCCCCTGGTCTTTTCTCTCTCTAGTCAAAATCCAGGAGGATTGAAGACTTGGTTGTCTCATTTTTGCATGATCTGTTTTTGTTCCTTGTTTTTGATTGTTTGCTTCTCTTGTGTGCATTCTGTAGACTCCCTTCTTTTTCACCCATGTATATTTACCACTCATGAAGATTTTGAATAGGTATGGCTGATACTTTTCCAATTGGCGACACTGTAGGTCACACTCTAGTCCTGTTGCAGAAATCAGCTGCTTCCTTGTTTATGTGTTGCAGAAATTACCATAGAATGCAATTGTGTTCTGTTAAGCGCAGCAAGGATCTTTCTTCATTGCCAGCTGGGCAAGGATATAAGATCATAGTCTAAAGTGCTGCAGTTGACTAGTAACCAATATGAGCTGCTTTTCAAAGATGGGCAGAAATAACCCATTTTATGGGAACAAGAAGACATGTGATAAAAAGTCTCTGTCATCTGCACTGCTGTCACTTCTGGGGTCCAGCATGCATTCCTGTGAACTTGTAAATTTTACATCTTTGAGCAAAATCCATCCCATTTCTCAAGGGGAGTAAAGCACAGGGGTGAAAATTTGTCGCTTGCCTTCTGCCCTTCAGGAGTCTCTACTTGCATTAGTTGATTTTCTTGCCGCTTAGCCGAATAAGATGCTGCTTGGCTCAGACGTAATCACTCAGCTTTGTCACACCATAGAGTGAAAGCATGAGATCCTGCATCCCCCCTGCCACAAAGAGAATTCTAAGCAGACAAGTGTTTGTAAATGATTATACAGAGGAAGTCTGGCATGCTTCTAGCTGTCTGCTCTGAACAAGCAAAATAGCAGCATCACAAGGGGGATTGTTTAAGGATTCTATGTTTTATGGGTGGAATAGGCAGATTTCTGCAATACATCCGATCAGCTCAGTGTAAGTGAGAGACCCAAGGCATGTAGCACACTTTTGTAATGCACTTTGCTTTTCAGCCCCCATTCTGTGGGGAGGATGCATGTTCTGTGAGCATGAGTTTCTTCTCTAACCTTCTGGTGACAAACTTTTCTCTTCAGCTACTGACATTTTGACTCATAGGGATGCTGATTCTGCTGGACTAAACTTATCCCACTAAACTTCTTCCTCCTTTGTTTGAAATTACACACTAACCCATTTTTAATTTTACAGCCCTGTATCTGGATTACATCTGCCTGCTTAAGATAAATTAAATGCCATGTATTTTTGAAGATAAAACTAAAGCATTCTTCACCAGGGCTTGCACTGACATACCTGTTGGGTTTCAGCTGTTAGGAGTGGTCCATATTCTCCTGTTTGAAGAGGATGTTTCTCAGAGCAGAAGTGTGTTTAAACTATTGGGGAAGGAAGGAATCGGGAGCTAGAAACTAGACAATTTGAAGTGAAGAAAATTTTCAGCCGAGAGGGTAATTAATCATTGGAATGGCTGTATATAAGGTGCAGCAGCATCTCTGACATGTAAAATCTATCAAGAATGAGCATCTTTCCAAAGGGTGTTCATTCAAGTCTTAGTTCTTGGTGTTTAATCACTGGGGAAAATTTCTAGTCTGTGTTAGATCAGAGGTCAGATTCTCTACGTACCATGTTCACTTAACACTTCAAGATCTCTTATTACTAATTATCTCTCAAATGAGGATGGGAAAGAGTACCAAAGAGATGTTGATCTTGTACTATCTAGTTCTGTTTTCATTTAATTATTGATTAGTTAAATAACACAGTTATTGCAGTAATAGCTCTTTCAACTCAGATCAAGCCAATAGTCAAAATAAGGAACCTTTGTGGTGATGTTTTCTTTTAGGATTAAGGAAAGAAAAGAATATAACTGCTTGGTTAATCTGGTATTTTCAAATACACAGCTTCAGTTAGTTGGTAGTAAAGATAAAAATCCACACTTTTGTTTAAACAGTAGCTGGCAAATGTATTTTCAATGTACAGTCACTGAGAAAACTTTTGCAAGCTGGAATAGAGTTCTTGAGTGTACAGACTGTGTCATGGGAGGCTTGTTATGGTGATACAGGCAGAGGCAAGGATTTGGAAAACAAAACTAACATGATTAAAAAGGAGCATTCCCTCTTTATATTTTTAAGAGTATTACTATGTTGTGAAACGTAAACCTAAGTATCTTGCATCAAAAAGCTCTGTGTATCCATGCACTGTAATTACCTTTTTAAACAACTGGTATATTAGAGCATGTGTTTGTCCACAAGAAAAAGGAATTAATCTTCAATTACTCTTTCAGTCTGGGCCTTGCAGGTTTCTCATTGATGTTTCATAAAACCAAAAAAAAAGTGCTTGAATCCCTTCTTTGGAGGGGTGGGAGAAGGGCTTCAAATTACTTCTAAAGATCAACTTTGAAAGATACTGGAAGATTAACCTTTCTCTTGCCAGTCAGAAATGCATGTGCTTTCCATTAATAGCTGAATACAAATCCATACAGAATAGATTTAGAATTCAGAATCTTCTTTGGAAGAAGCTCCTGTAAATCCCCATGGCTGCTGTTATGTTTCAGAGTTGATCTTAATACAGCTACAGGCTTATTGTTTCCTTTCTCTTTTAGTATAATGCAAATAAATATGTAATAATGCCGCTTGCGTAGTAAGCACACTGGCTGTCAGAGCACTTTGGAAATAGGTGATCCCTGGGGTCATATGAGAGCAGGAGAAAGCATGTCTCTAGAGCCATTTGCTGCAGTATTTCTGGGGGAGAGGTGGGGCTGTACCTATGTAATCAGACAGTCTGTGGCTTTGGCTTTTGTTAAGTGAGGTGTTACAGTAAAGGTGCAAGAAGGAAGTGCCAGAGTTGGGACTGGGGAGCTCTGCTCTGTGGGCTGTGTGTGGAGGTTATGAAAGAACTGGCTAGAAAAAGCAGTTGTAGAGACATGGGTGTGAAAGGCTGTGGCTGTAAACACGTGTGCCCTGCAGACATTCCAGTCTCCTGCTGATATTGGGGTGCAAGTTGGGAAATGTTAGCTTTTAAAAATGGTGATTACAGAAGAGTGAAGATGTCTGCTCTCTCCAGCCTGTATTTATTGGATTTAGTTACACTAGTGTAAGCTGAGTGAGATGTCTTGATGCAGTACCCCTTTTTCCACACTCATTCAAGTGAGCACACCAGTAAGTCTCTGGTCCAGCAGCTGTAAAACCTAAACAACATTCAAAGTGATCCTGCCCCTCTGCTCTGCTCTTCTGAGACCCCATTGTGTGGAGTTCTGGTGTCCTCAACATAAGAAGGACATGGAGCTATTGGAGCAAGTCCAGAGGAGGCCACGAGGATGATCAGAGGCTGGAGCATTTCCCATATAAAGATAGGCTGAGAAAATTGGAGCTGTTCATCCTGGAGAAGAGAAGGCTGCATGGAGACCACATAGCAGCCTTCCAGTATCTGAAGAGGGCTACAAGGATGCTGGAGAGGGACTCTTCAGTAACTGTAGTGATACGACAAAGGGTGATGAGTTTAAACTGAAACAGAGGAAATGCAGGTTAGATACAAGGCAGAAGTTCTTTGCTGTGAGGGTGGCGAGATCCCTTGCCTGTTGCCACGTACCTCATCTTGATGTTTTCCCCTTGTTTCACATCAGTGTTTTACAACAAAAATGGTGAGGAACTGGTCATTGCTTTCGGATATTCTTGGGGTAGGGTGGGGTCTTTTTCACTTGGACTCCGTTTCAGCACACACAAGAATGGTAATTTGTATTGTGAAAACCAACTACCAAATGCAAGAAATTCCGAGTCTTGCAAATATTTGTACCGTAAGCCCAGAATGTCCTCTGTGTCTGGGTCAGAATGAGGCTGATACCCTGCAGCTGAGTATAACAAAGTATTATTCTGCTTTTCATGAGTACTTTTCCCCTAATGTTTGGTTGGTTTGTTTTTTTTTTTAACAAATAAACATAAATCCACCATTGTTTCAGGGGAACCCAGTGCACCCAAACTGGAAGGTCAGATGGGAGAAGATGGAAACTCCATTAAAGTGAATGTTATCAAGCAGGATGATGGTGGCTCCCCAATTAGACATTATCTGATCAAATACAAAGCTGTAAGTATGACTGACGCTCAAACCTGATTTGTATTCAGCCTGTTCAGTACTTAGGTTTCACTATGTAGGCAGACAACCCTGAAGCTAAGATCTTGTAGGTAGGCCAGTACAGGAATACATGCTATGCAGGCATGGTGGAAGCGTATAGGATATGAGACATGACATGCACAGAAGCAACATACAACATCTTTGTGTGATTTTCTTTCCTTTCACTTTGACTGTGAAAGGTTATTTCTCTATGCTTCTACTTCTTCTGTAGAAGTGTGAGCATACGGTAATTGCATGCACTTAGTATTCTTTCATTTCGTACACTTCTGAGATGGGATTGCCAGCAACAATTTAAATAGCTGGGGACCAGAGTTTCATAGTGTAGAGCGTTGCCCTCCTTCAGACATGTATCTGATCGTAACTTTCAGTCATTGAAACTGCCATATTTGATAGAGTACTGGCTGCTTCAGTAGCAAATTCTTCTCTAGATTACTGAATAAGATATTCAATGTAGTCAATATGGACACAGATAAATTGATAGATGCTGTTGGAAGCAGTTCCTTTAGGCCTAACTTAATCAGCTCTTATTTATTTATGTCATGAACAGCTACTGTTGTAAGTTGAACATGTCCTTGTTTTGGGTTAGGTGCTATTTGATGGGGTGTTTTTTTTCCTACAAAAGAATATCCAGTCAGATTGCTTAGCGCATCCTTGAGGAGTTGGGCCTTGAGAGAGGGTCAGTGAAAATAGAAAGTTCTTCAGGGCAGCAGAAAGAGCTTCCAGAAGTTATTGATGCTTTTTTCTATTGTCTGCACACTTTCTCATTCTTAGTATACCTGGGGGAAGCTCAGTTTTCCCATTGTTTGAGCTGCATTACTGAAGTTTTTTGGCTATTAAGAAAAAAAGACATTTTATTAGTGACTGAGTCTGTCAGATGTGGAACTGAACTAATTGTGTATTGGCTATCTTCTCTTTATATCCTATGAACAATCCTTCAAGCAAAGTCACAGAGCACACTTTGCAGTGCAGTATAGAAATGTTGAGTATTTTTTTACCACCATCATTTTAGGTATCTTAATTACTTGGAGCTTCTTAGAATGGGGAGAGGCTTTGGAAAGTCAAAAGGACAATCTGGTGTCACAGAACTGTAAATTCCAGCCGAGACAGAAAAGTCTGTTAGCACACTCCAGTCACAGCAAACTGCCTAAGCCTGTCTCAGGGTACCTTGGTAGTACCTCGTCTGAGTGAAATGAATAGCTGGATTCCCTGAAACCAGAGGAGGAATTATCAGGGTTACTAGTTGTATGCACCTTTAAAAGTCTCTTAAATGGTGCGGAATAGAATGGTAGTGGTAAGCTAGGCCAGACCTGTGTTGCAAGCTAAAACTCTCAGATGGTTTGAATTTGACATACTAAGACATGAAAGAACATTCTTAAAGTGATTTGCAGAACAAAGACGTACAGAAGTTGCAGCTTTTCCTCTCTGAAACAGAAGTAGTGTAGTGAGATGGCAAAGATGAGAGAAAGAACCAAGGGATTTTCTTCAGGTGTGATAACACTGCAGAAAACGGGATTCTGAGCAGTAAAGGGGCTGTTTCGGTATCTCCATGTAGAGCTAACAGCACGTGACACTGAATTAGCTGAGGAGGAGTGTGTGCTTGTGTATAAACCTCCCTGCTTTTCCATTTGTTAGTTAGCTGTTACAGTGTTCCCAGAGCTGGCTACTAACATTGTGCTGTGTGTTTTGCATCCCTGCCTGTCATCTGCTGCTCTGCAGAAGCATTCCTCAGAATGGAAACCAGAGATCAGACTTCCATCTGGCAGTGACCACGTCATGCTCAAGTCCCTGGACTGGAATGCGGAGTATGAGGTTTATGTGATAGCTGAAAACCAGCAAGGGAAGTCCAAACCAGCTCACTATGCTTTCCGAACTTCTGCTCAGCCTACTGTCATCCCAGGTACAGCAGTCATAAGCTTTACCATTGTTTTCTGCTTCCAATTAATGCAACAGTGCTGCATCCTTTAATGTGCCTGAGTAACCCTGACAACTTGCTTGCTTAAAGCCATTATCATGATTGGTTACCCATCCAAAGCTTAGTTTTTGCCATGTACATACCTGTACTGTAGTACATGTTACAGTATGTACAGCATTAGCAGTGCACTGTTAGGAATGCTACCTGACAAATCGTTGTCTGACTGTTTACAGGGAATGTTGGCTTCTTGTATCAAGGTAACAGGATTGCCAGATGAAAAAAGCAGTGGATAGAAGCCACTTTCTGAAACCAGAAAGTGGGATTTCCATTTCAGACTAAAGCAAAAAAGACCATTTAAATCTCTGGAGTGATGCTTTTCACAATGCAGATTTTGCTTTCAAATCTGCTTTGGGCTTGCTGACTGCTCGCTCATTTGTCCATCCAGCTCAGCCTCTGGAGAAAGAAAGGCATATGGAGTTTGCTAGTGGTTGGATCTTTCTCTGTAGATTTTTTAATTAAATGGAGTGAAGATTAAATTATAGTAATTTTGAAACGGCACTGTTTTAATGTTGAGTGGGCATTCTGAAAAACTAAATAGCATTAGAATGCCACTGGAAACTTGTGCTTCAGACAGAGCGTACTTATTAGCGTGCTTAAAAGGTGAGGTAGAAACACAAATGCTATGCAGAACAAGCAGACACTGTTGGCTGAGATGCTAGGAATTCAGCAGTCTGCTGGAAGTTATTGTAAGGACAGATAGTATTTCTTTTCTACACAGGCAGTAGCAGTGCACATTTAAAAAATAAACGAGGGGTGGAGGGAGAAAACCAAACAAGCAAAACCTAAAGGATGAAATTGCTGGACTACCTGTAAATTAAAGTTCTGACTGATCAAGGGCAGATGGATGAACTGTCAAGCTGATGAGTCAGACAAAATATGTCCTCATTGCACAGCCAGACTTAAGCATATTCATGCCAATATTGGTGCTGACAGTCCATATTGAAAGGAGTTCTCTGAAAACTGATTTGTTTTCATTTTATCTTCTAGTTTGTTAACTCAGCCTCATGTTTTTCTTCAGCACAAGTAGAGTTCTCTTCAGTCCTTCCCTTGCACTGACAATTCAATCCTTGGTCTGCCCCCACTAAACTCACTCCCTTCCTGTCTGAAGGAAACAGCTGAGACCTTGTGCACTTGGCACGCAGAAACTCCACTTGATTAAGCCAGATAGTGTTGTTAAGCATACAAATGAGTGACCTAGTTGGTTGGGGCTTGAAAAATGTGTATGGTAGGGAGGAGGAGGGTAATAGGGCAAAAAAGGTTGGAATGTGTGTTTGACCAGGGCTGTAGTTTTGGGTGGAAGGACCCTCCGTAACTCATTAAGCAACTTACTTTCTGATTCTCATTTTCAACAGCTCTAATACTTACTACCCTCATATTTGAAGGACAACTGTGACTGATGTGGCAGGAGAAAGTGAGGGTAATTTGGCAAAGAGTGCCTTAAGGTCGGTTCAGAGCTGACCAATCAAATGCAGTAGGCTGGAAACAGCAGAAAGTGGTTCCTTTGCACTGTGATGTATCTCCCCAAGGCAAGTTACAAGTACTGATCAGTCTTTTTGTTCCTTCACAGTCCCTTGTGTGCAACCATTGTTGCCTTCCTGTGCTGATATTCTTCTAGCCTGTTACATGCCCAGTGGGACAACAAAGCTACCTGGGGAAGCTGGGATGCCTTACATAGGTGTACTTGAGAATGCTGTTGCCTTTGGAACAGGCAGTGCTCATTCTGCAGTCCATGCAAGTGGGAGGAGCAATGAGACCAGATGCCACTGAGCCCTAAATACATAAGCAACATGGGTAGGAGCCCTCTAGAAAGTGGGCTCAGGGTAGAAGCTGAGTTTGTTAAGTGTAACTTACTTGGCCTCTCTGAAATGATTCCTCACTTAGTCTGGTGTGAACAGGAGGAATCAGGGTCTGAGGCTGCTACTCAGATGTTGGAAGCATTTTGAAAAGCAGTTGTTCCTGCAAATATGCTGCAGGATTGACCCGACAGATGCAGTTGGTTCTCAGAGGGAATGTGCGTTCAGGGGCACGTAGACCACTGTGCAGTGCAGTGATTACTGCCTATGTTGGATTTGTGACTCTGCTTCTCTAGGTTGTGGGTTTTTTATTTTTATTTTGTAGAGGACTTTGGCTTCTGTTAGGCTTGCCAAGGTGTTTCCAGACCCTTTGGTTCTCTGAGCTGATCCCAGGCTAATAATATTGGGGAAAATATTTCCAGAGGGCAGGCTAGATTTTTCTGAGACGCAGTCCAAGTCTGCCAAACTGCAGTAGGGAAGAAAGCTGGTGTATTACTTTCCTTTAGCATCCTCTTGTCATTTTCATGGCGTTTAGCTTTTACATTTCAATTTCAAAATGAGCTATACAGAAGTCGGAGCAAGTGCCTCTAACATGGCATTGCTCTGCTTGACAGTAATAGTTAGGAATTTCCTGCACACAAAATGTGTATTTATTACGTAGTCCTTTGTTACCATTATCTGTGCAGTGTCCTTAAAGTGGTTGAAAGGATAAAGGGTATCATTTTCAGTGATAATAATAGTTGCATTGGGGTAGTTTACAAGCATCTGGAAGGCTAATGTTAAAAGTCAGTCCTGTGTTCTTCAGACCTTCTTGCTTCTTCAGGGTTTTAGTCACCTGGATCTATCATCCAAGGCAAGTCCTTGGTACAGCAGGGTTTGGGGAAGGACTTTGACAGGCAGGTAGATTGTCTGCTACACAAGAGCTTTTTTCTTTTTTATCCTTCGACTACATAAAAGGCAGTGTTGTCCCTTCAAATACCAGATAACCATTTTCTTGTGTTTCTTGCCAAGCCTTCTGTTCCATCATTTCTAATCTCATTTGCTTGCAAACCCCATAAACCCTGACTTGGACTTTGCTCTGCGGCTTTGGGCATTGCTGAGCTTCTGAACCGGCCTTTTTGTCGGTGTGAATGTGCTAATGCTCTTCTTTAACCTTTAGCCATTTTAATTTACAAAATTAAATAAACCTTTTGATTCTTATATTTTCTATATTTATGACCTAATTTTTTTTATCTATTTTTTCTCTCTTTCTCTCTTTATTTCTTTTTCTTCCTCGTCCTTTCTTCCCTCCCCTCTCCCTTCTTCCCTTACTCCTTTCCTATGTCTGTCGTCATACATGTCACCTTGGATCTCACGGGGAAACATCCACGCTTGCCACATGCACCAAATTTGTTTTAAAACAACCATATTTTCCCCTCCTGGGAACCATTGTCTGGCACCTGCAGCGACCTTGGGAAGTCCATCAACGTCGTCCTCCTTTGTTTCATTGCTTCTTTCTGCAGTGACTCTGCTTTTGCTCTGTTAGAAACATAAAGTAAAATAAAGCAGTATTTCCTTGGAAAGGCCTGGGTCCCACCGAGGCGTGAAAGCAGATAACTTTGCTTCAGAGGATCTTGTCAGTTCAGGAAAAACAAACAAACCACAGAACATTATAGAAAAATGTTGGATTTGAAAGAGTCAGTATTTTGTAACAAGGAAAAAGAAAGGTTTCTTCTCTTTAACATTTGGGGTTTTTTGTTGCTTGTAATGAATTTGCCCTTTTTATTGGATGTAAGGGAAGATTTTTGTTGTTTGCGTGCTAGTTTTCATCCCAGGAAGGTACATAATTGAAAGCCTTTTAAGACACTGCTTTTTGCTGATTTCTCTGCACATCTGGTGCTGATCACCACTGTATTGTGCAAAAGGTTTAGAAAGCCCGATCCACAAATACAAACCCACAGACCATAGAAAGAGAAAGATATGTCAGAGCTGATCCTGCTGGTTGCCCAAATGTCTCTGTGGGCTTTTGCATGTGGATTCAAATTTATGGCCATTAGAAGGTTTTCCTGATGTGGTGGTCTGAATATAAATATCTTGTGAGAATTGCACTGAAGAGATTTCTTTCTTTCTTTATGTGGTTGGATCTTTGCGACTTCATTGGCCTCTTCTGTACAGTCAAGTATCTCATGATGCTTAGTGGATCTGGGGCATAATACACCCCATGAGCATACAAATTTGCAATGGATGCTTCCACTACTGTATTACCAACTTCATAGATCCTTTTTCTTGCCATTTTAACAGAAAATAGTTTCTTTGATCAAGTTACCTGACCAGCTAATTTATTGTTATTAGATCATTAATAATATTCATGCTTAACTGTGCATGTGACACTGCCAGACAGGATTAATCCGTGCCGTGAGTTGGTGCAGTATAATGCATCTTTGTTACCACCTTCTGTGTATTGCATTTCGTTAAACAAATTTCAGTTGGCTTTTTTTCTTTTCTCTTGTTTTTACTTAAAAACAAAGCCCAAAGGACACAACAAAACACACACAAACCCAACCCCAACCCAGCCACAACAACAAAACCCCCCTGTGCCCTTCATGAATTGTCTTTGTGATGAGAAATCCATTTGGCTCTGATGCTGTTTTAAAAATGCGTGTGTCTCTTTGTAAGTGGGCCTGAGGCTGCCAAGGATGAAACTGTGGATGTAGTTGTTCAACTGTCCGTACAGAGTGTCTCAAATGCTATCGGTTGTCTGGAATGGGATTAATCCCTCTAACAAAAATCTAATGGTGACAAACAAAATCCCTGCCATTGGTCTTGTCTAACTATGCATTTTATGCTCTGCACACAAGTCTTTCCTGTGTTTATTCAGGTCTCGTTCGTTATGATTTGTGAACTGCTTTTCTATCTAAATTGGAAGTGAAAACTTTGTGCAGGTGTTGTACATAAAAGCATGTGGATTTCTTCTGTTTTTTAAAAAACAACCTCATTTTCAGGGTTTTAGGGTATAGATTTGTTAGGTCTGTTGTGTTTACACAGTAGTGTTATTGAAATACAACAAGAGTAGTCATAATGCTAAAAATTGTGTGACATGACCTCCTCATTCCCTGTATGCATCAGAGGGTGATAAATGCCTTTAATTATGCAGCTTGTAGCAAGATGCTGACAGGGGTCTGGTCGGTGGCACAAATGTTATACCGAGCAATAATGGATTTGTGATGTGAGTGTCAGGTACCTCAGAGTGATGTTTGGATATAGTCAAATGCAGAAAGAAGCTTTCCTGTTGAAGTCTGGATTCCTTAATACACGTCAGAGTCACCGAATGACACAACGGTGATTTGCCTTACGCTAAGGATGTTCTCCTATTTTTAAGTAATGAAATGTGTGGAGGGGGGGATGATGCTCTCTCTGTGAGCCCTGGAAATGATCTCTCCACCAGTCAAAGCCAACATAGGTCAGGCTGGGGGCTAAGGGGTGCTTTGCTGGGTTTTTCTGCGATGAAATGATTGCAAGTATTTGGGGGTTGTGACATCCTGCAGTAAAAAATGCAGTAGAAACGAATGGAATTACATCTTAATTGAAACAAAAGACAAAACCAAAATACTCCAATGGACAATGACAAACATGCTCTTGTTCAGCTGTCTCAGAAAACATCAGTAAGCAGCTCTGACAGATGCACAGGCCTTTACTGAGTGCACAGTCCTGTAGTAAAAGGTGGATTATGTGACAGCTGAGACTAACAAGCAGGTTGTGAGTAGTTTGGTACATCTAGGGAGGTGCTGAATGGTATGAGCCAACAACCAAATGCTCTACCTGCAGATGAGCAGCTTGGGAAGAATTCATCTGATTAAAATAAGGGGAACAAAAACGGTTTGTGTTCAGGGTATAAGAGGCTGGGAAGCTGCAGCTGGCAACATTCAGGGCTGTGCCTGTTGGTTTTGCGGTGATCACAGGCTTTGGCAGCATTAACTGATGTGTTTATCCACGCCCCCCCTTTCTAAGTACCGAGCATTTTACAAGCAGCTAGAAAGCTAAAGGCACTTCCCCTGAAGACAGTAGTTATAGGCAACCCCATGCATTTCCCAGGCCTCCATCACCACCTCTCACCTGCTGTCCTTTTGTCTGCTGGAAAAGGCAAGGTATTTTTTTTTCTATTCTATAGCTGGGGAAATGTGGTGGAGTCTGGGTGTGGTGGAGGGGGCAGCTGCTGTCACCAGGACAATGTCAGTCTGCTTGTAAGTATCATCTGCTTCCTCAGAAGGCTGCTTGGATCGTTGTCTGTGCCTAAGCCAAAACACCCATGAGCATTCACTGATGAGCTCTGCTATCTCTGCTTAAGATATAGAAAGCTTACCACTTTTCCAGTTCTGGATAGCTGGGGTCATACCTGGAAGGGTTTTAATTATTCCTTTTGTTACGTGGTATAAGGGATAACCAACACTGAGACTCCACAGGTATCACCCAGTAGTCTGTGCCCCACCAGGGCAAGTCATGCTATGGAATCTAGGATTCACTTGCACTTGTCCTTGTACTGGACTGGCAGTGCAAAAGTCACTCTAGACCCTCAACACAGCCTTCATCTTGAGGAAGTGGTGGAGAGAAACAGCCCTTTAGAATTCCAGCTGGATATATGCTACAGTAGAAGAGGTTTCTGTAGTCTGCTTTCCAGACCCTAGCCCAGGGAGATGGAAAAGCCCCATAAAGTCCAGGTGAACCTGACTTTTTAGGTAGCTCATCCTGCATGTCTTTAGGATAGAATACTGGTTAAAACACAAGGCTACTAGAAGAGAGGGTGCGCTTTCTGCAGGTTTCCCATGCTTGCAACCTAAGCATAGCCAAATTTGAGCCATAACTAACCCCAACTCACCTTCTAACTACAATGCCTTCTTTTCTTCTCTTTTTGGTCTCTAAAGCCAGCACTAGCCCAACATCAGGCCTTGGGACTGCTGCCATCGTAGGAATTCTCATTGTTATCTTTGTGCTGCTCCTGGTGGCTGTGGACGTCACCTGCTACTTCCTGAACAAGTGTGGCTTGCTGATGTGCATTGCTGTCAACTTGTGTGGCAAATCTGGCCCAGGAGCAAAGGGCAAAGACATGGAGGAGGGCAAAGCTGCCTTCTCGTGAGTACTGTCATCACTTACATTGTTCCTTCTGGTATCAGTGTGAATGGGAGCCAATCTCTATGCAATTCCTTTGTTACAGGAAAGATGAGTCCAAGGAGCCAATTGTGGAGGTGCGGACTGAAGAGGAGCGGACCCCCAACCACGAAGGGGGAAAACACACAGAGCCCAATGAGACCACCCCACTCACGGAGCCAGAGTATGTGGCATTAGTCAGTCTTAACACAGAGTCAGTACATTGCCCCTTGCCCTGATCCCTGATTTCTCATGCCCATGACTTAGGGCAGGAAGAGAAGAAAGGTTAAAAACTCCAAATTCCACTTGTGACATATCAGCAAGGAAATTCCTCCTCTTTTTCCTCAAGATTCAGTGACTCGTATTTCCAGCACTGGAAAGGAAAGGGGAGTAGACAATGTTTTTTGAAAGACCTGTCCCTGCTAGTCCTGTCCAGTGTGTAGATCAGGCACCTGGCCAGGTTCACTGCAAAGGATCCAGAGCAAAACCAGCCCCCAGTTAGCACCGGCTTCTGCTTGGGCTCTGCCCTAGAAATGGATGGGTGCTTGGAAGCAATTCTTTCTACTTGATAGCAGCAGAGCGGCTACGCTCAGGATGCTGGGGGGGAAGGCATGGCAAGTCTTTTTTTAATGTGAGCTTTGTTTGTGTTGAAGAACTTGGTTTGGGCCTGAGTGTGTGCGGCCATGTTAGCTGGGATTGGAAAGGTTTAAGTATTGTACGCTCCCTACATTAAGCTCTTGCCTAGTCTGTTGCAGTTCTGGTGTCCTCTGAGTACTTCTCCATAGCTGCTAGAGCAGTAATGGGAGGAATTCACTTCTGGAAGTGTAAATATTTGGGTCAGGTTTGGGATTGATGGCACAAGTTGGGTTCTTGCCCTTCAGCAGAATCCTCACAGTGCTGACGTGGTCAGGCTTTTCCATCTGTATATTGCTCACCTGCTTTGATTAGGTTAGCAGTGGGGCTCACTGGTAAAGTGGCTCTGCTGGAAGTCTCTGTGAGGTGGAAGGAGAAAGCAGCGCTGAAATGCAGATGCGCAGCAGTGAGGAGTAGCTGGGATTTATATTGTCCTGTTTTTCTTGGCTAATCTTGCCAGAGTTTTAACTCGATTATCTCCTCTGTGATGGTTTTCTCTGTGTTAATAAGCATGAGGTGGTGTTCTCGGGCACACTGGCTTCTCATGGAATAAACAATTTGTTCTTCCAGCCTCACATATGTGTACTTGTTTAAGGCAACCATCATGGCTGCTAAAGCATGGTTACACTCAGACATTGTCCTAAAGCAAACCTTATTGCAGCTAACACAACAGGCTGGAATTTGGTCAAAGGGGTACAAAACGACACCTCAAAGCTGCACGTATGGGTGATATATATATATATATGCATTACATGTGTGTATGAGAAAAAGAATTTTATTCTGTATGGTTTGATGAAGGAGTTAGGCTTGCAGGGAAAAGGACAGGGCCAAGATGAGAGACTGGATTCAGGGGTCCTGCACTGGGGTCATGTTGTGTGGTGACATGGCACAGGCTACCAGCTCAGGGAATTGGTAGAAAGCTTCCTTGTGAGGTTAGGTGGAAGAGGCCAAGAGGAAAGCTGGGCTAAAAGAGAAGAGTCTCTGCAAGTTGACAGGGTTACGTTTGGCTAAGAGCTGAACCAAAATCTATGTGACCAAGCCATTCCTGAAGGCCATGTCCTCTTTGCTCTTTTTCTCTTCCTAGTTATTCTTCAGTCATCCCAGCCAGCCCTTACTACCCTTTGCACGTTTGACCACTGAAAGGTTTCTGCTCCTCTGAGTAGCTCTTCATGTTCTGTGTGTGTTGTAACCACGTGCCATGCTGCTGCTGCACCACTCACTTCCCTTCTCACTCTTAACACTCTCAGCACTCTCCCCTTTCCTCTGCTGTCGTTTACGGGCTTCATTGTCTCTATTTCTCTTCTACTCCTGCCCTCTTCACAGGCACCCTGCTGATACCGCAGCCACTGTTGAGGACATGCTGCCTTCTGTAACTACGGGCACCACTAACTCTGACACTATCACTGAAACTTTTGCCACTGCTCAGAACAGCCCCACCAGCGAGACCACTACGCTGACCTCCAGTATTGCCCTGCCAGCCACGGCCATTCCTGACTCAAACTCCATGTCGCCTGGCCAGGCTACTCCAGCCAAAGGGGCAGCCACCTCAGTCTCTTCACCACCACCCTCTTCCACCCCCAAAGTGGCCCCCCTTGTTGATCTCAGCGATACCCCGAGTGCTACTCCAGCTACTAATAATCTGTCTTCAAGTGTCCTGTCTAACCAAGGTGCAGTGCTCAGCCCCAGCTCTGTTGCTAACGTGGCTGAGACCTCCAAAGTGGCAGCTGGTAACAAGCCAGCTGCCCCAAGTCCTGCAAACCTCACTAGCCCTCCAGCTCCGTCAGAGCCCAAGCAGGAGGTCTCAAGCACCAAGAGCCCTGAAAAGGAAGCTGTGCAGCCCAGTACAGCGAAGAGCCCAACAGAGACAACCAAGAACCCAAGCAATCTGAAGAGCGAGGCTGCTTCAGGCAGCACCACAAACCCCTCCCAGAATGAGGACTTTAAAATGGACGAAGGGACCTTCAAGACACCAGACATTGATCTTGCAAAGGATGTTTTTGCAGCTCTTGGCACTCCTACTCCTGCCAGTGCGACTAGTGGGCAAGCTCGCGAGCTTGCTTCTTCCACTGCAGACAGCTCTGTACCTGCTGCACCTGCAAAGACCGAGTATGGCTGCCTTTAATCTTCTGTTGGTTGTGTGCTGTGTCTCTTGTGCACTGGTGCTTGTGCTGTGTTCTTGTTGGGTGTTCTCTTAACTAATCTCATTGTTTCCTTAGCAAACTAACTCACCTCTGAACAGGGCTTGGCTTTAAAGGTTCAGGAGCAAAGCAGGAATAGGCAGTACCAGGGACGCAGGCAAAAGACAAACTCAAGTTTTTCATAAACGTGTTCTCCTTCAGACTTGTATTCAGCTTTGTCTATCATGGGTTACTCTTTTATGAAAGAGATCAGAAACAGGTCAGTTAGGTGCAAAGGAAGTGCTGTCCTCCGGGGCACCAAGTTCCTGCAGTTCAGTGAGCACAGCCGCCCAAATTCTAATTCCTAGCAGATCAGTGGAGCCCTTCAGAAGTTCTTTCAGTGTAAGGCAGGGCAGAAACTAGTGCATGTCGAACTCTAAAAGCTTGGTACCTCTACATTTGTCCGTAGACTGGCAAAAGGATGAAGCGATGCCATCCTGTCTGAGAGAGGAGAAGCAGTCACAGCACGTATTGGGTCAGGATGACTTGGCAGGGTGGTGTCATGGTGTGTTAGAGATGAGTCCTCATCCAGGGTGCTGGGTCTGCTCTTTACCTCCTCCTGCTGATCGATTCAGAGTCTCAGTATGCCCCTAGGCAGGACAGCCCTAGGGGTCCTTTGGAGCCTTAAACCATCTGGACAGTTGAGATGAGTCTGCACCTTGGCAGTCAAACTGCAACTGGAGAGTGAGAAAAGCATGGCTGGGTTCACCCGGCATCTTTGGCTTTTGCCAAGGAAAGTGTATTGAGGATGCTGGGATCTGCACTGTCAGTTAGTTTGCTGCCAAAAACCTGGCTGTTCTCGAGCTACATTTATAGCTCACACAGCTAAATTTAGGCTATGTTACAGCAGCCACACTGGAGGCATAACCTAAATCACAGCTTTGGTTAGAACTTTTTCCATCTCCAAGAAAATCACCTCATTCTGCAAGTTTTGTATTTAATCCAGAGTAAAGCATTGGCCTTGATCATTGGCTTTGACACTGCGGTTGCAGTGTGTGTTAGCACTCGCAGAAAAGCAGTCAGGCAGGTACTGTAGACCCAGAACCAGGCTCTTTTCCAGATCTGAGTGAAAACCCATGCTGTTTTACTGTATTATTCAGGTGCCTTTACATCTTGCAGCTCTGGTCTCCCTACCTCCCTGCTGTCCTCCCGTCCTTCCCTGAGGCAGGAGACGTTCCTGCTGTGTGACTGTTCCACAGCACTGCCTTGTGCCCCACACAGCTGTGGAGCATCTCGCCCTTCCTGGAAAGCCTAGATGGCACAGCAGATGCACTAGGGTTGGAAGGAACCAGGCAGCCTTGATGAGTGTAGCTGAGCTGCTCCCAAGCAGGTTCATTTCAGTTCACTGCACCTAAAGCCACTGCCCTGTCATGCTGGGTGCTACAGAAAGGCAGGCCACATAGGGAACTGTGATCTGGTACTGAGCTGAAAGGAGGAAGGGAATGGTTTGCCCATAGTAAGGAAGCATTTCAGTTGAATTAATGTGGCTCGGTCTGTGTGCTGTAAATGAATTCTTGGCTGTGTTCTGACGATCCAGCCACCTTCTACCTGTGCTGCTCATCTGCTTCCCTTGGTGCAAATCAGTATGGCAACCATAGGCTAGATTCATCTCATCTACTCAGCAGGATAAATTAAGATTGCAGTCATCTCAGACTAACTTTGTGGCTAATGGGCTGGAACTGGCACACAGGAAGGCCGCCACATATGCCTTGAGTGGCACTTTGCATGACTGTGATGAGTGCACTGGACAAACAGGCTTCTCTGATTGTTCAGTAAAGTGCCAAAAGACAGGTTCATGGACCTGTGAAGATGTTGACCTCCCTTACACTTGTGTGAATACGCTTGACAAAATTCAGTTCTGCTGTGTTTTCCTTCCTGCAACATACTGGGAAGTTCTGGGACTGACTTTCTGTAGGGGAAAAGGGGTTTCGGCTAAAATGCCAGTCTGTTCTAATAGGACATTTGGGTGACATAAATGAGTGATGGTAAAATCAAATTCCTTTACAACTGTGCAAGTTTTCCCTTTTCCTTCTTTCTGGTTTTGCACATCACAACACAACTTGCACCTCTGCTGCATCCTGAGACCTCATCCTACTAGTATGTGAGATCAAAAAAGATTTCACTAGAGCTAAATGAAGCTGGGGGGGTGAGTGTGAGTTGGGTTTTACTTAAGTCTGCATCTGAAAATGTTCATTTTGGCCTAGCAAGGCAATACACTTGCTTGATTCCAGAAACATATTCTTATCACTAATTCAGCAATAGAGAGTCTGTATTTCTCTGCCTCTAAACTGTGCTGTTTGGTGATTCTCCTTCAGGAAAATCCCAGTAGAAGACAAATCTGAAGTGCAAGCAACGGAAACCAAGACACCTCCAGCAGAAGTCAAGACGGTCCCCAGTGAAGCCACACAAACAAACGAAAATGAGAGCAAAGCATGATCCAGCGACAGATGAAAGCAAATGACAGAACGACTTCACCCAAGCATTTAAAACACAGAACACAACACACATCTCATTCCTCTAGTGTCTGTTGCCTTTTTTTAAAAAAACAAACAAAACAGAAAATGCATAAATGGGGGGAGGGGGGAATCTCTCTTTTTTTTTTTTTCCTTTTATTTTTCTCTCTCTTTTTTTTTTGTTTTTTGTTTTTTCCTTAAGATTTCTAGAAAAGTTCTATTTGTTGTGCACTTGCTTTTAAAAAGTAATACATTTTAAAAACAGGGTTAAACCCGTAACCAAATCAGGGCTCCGCTGACCCTGGGTATAGTCAAAGAAGTCAAATGGCAAATCCCGTTTGCAGCGTGGTTGGGAAGCTCAAAACAAACTAGTCCTAGACAAAAAAAAAAAAAAGAGAAAAAAAAAGACAAAAAAAAAAAGACAAAAAAAAAAAAAAAGACCCTGTTCTTTCCTTCGTTAGTATAGCAGATATAAACCACTGCGCCCTCGGCGCAGCTGGCGCTTAATGAACAAAGTCCACAATTTATTTTTATACTTTTCAGTCGAGTTTGAAATATGTAAAGCCTCATAAATAAGTTATGATTTCTGTTCACCTTCTATCTGTTCAGTAAGCAAAGTGTCTCGAGCTCTTTGTGACTGAATTCTGTTCTCCACGGTAGACATTTCTTTGGGGGTTATTATCAGTTGTTAGGAAGAATGCCAAAATTGCAGCTTCGGGGGGGGATATATTTCAATTTGCAGTATTCAGACTCTACATTTCTTTAAATTTTATGTTAATTTTTGCCAACTTTTTTTTTTTCCGGTGTTTACAATTGACAATTTTATTTTTTTTTAACTTTTGTTGTGTTTAAATGTATGTGTAAAATAGCTGCCTTTTTTTTTGTTTTGTTTTTTTTTAAAGAAAATACAGTTTATAGAGACTAGGTTAGCAGCATGCTTGCTTTGCTAAGGGAGACATTTTAAAACATGGATGTTTACAGTAGTTGTTTCCCCTTTATCTTTTCTTAATTATTGTTGTTGTTATTATGATTATTATTATTATTATTATTTCTTACTGGAGTAAGAAGAAAAGTAATGCTGGGGTTTGGTTTGGGTTTCTTTTTGGGGGGTGGGGGTATTCAAACCATTTGCCACCAATCAAGGTCTTTATCCAGCAATCTGTATAAACACATCTTAACTTGGAATGAGAGGGTTGCTGGCAAGAGTCCTTCTATACTTAAATTTAGAAAGAGTTGAAGTCCCTTGCTGGACCTGGGCCTGACTGCATAAGAGAAATATCATCTCCACTTATTTAGGACATTCTCCCCTTTCCTTCATGGAACCCTCCCGGAGCTTTGAGGAGCAGAAGGGAGATTGTACAGTTAGGGCTGGTCTGGTCTGGTCTTAGATGTTTGGCTACATCAATTCCTACTTAGTATGTGAGTAAATACCATTTCCTTTGACTCTAGGAAGCCGATTTTAAAGCAAAGACTTAACTGCATAAGGGTGCTTGGCAGCATCCAAGACCCCTCCTGCAAAGCCAGCTCCATCAGCAGTTGGACTAGATGATCGTTGTAGGTCCCTTCCAACTGAATTATTCTATCACATCATGCATATTGAGTCATCCATCCATGCTCTGCAAAATCAAAACCATGAAATCAAGAGGGAGCGCCTGGAAATCAATGCCAGCACTCCCAGTGATTTCATGTATCTTGGCATAACAGTTGGAAAAGGGCACTGATGTATGTGTATTATCATTATGGGCAGGGGAGCTTATCAGTGATGTTTAGCTTTGGGAGCCATGGAGCAACACTGAGATTTTTGGGGTGAAAAGAGCAGAAGGAAGGCATATAGTAGAAGACCAGCCCATTGTATAGAGATGTTCCTTCTGTTGGGGTTTTGGTTTTTTTCTCTCTTTTTTTTTTTATTTTTTGATTTTGTTTCCTTTTTTATTCTACTTTAGATCTGCAAGCTTGTGCACTGTGGGTGCGTGACTATTTTAGTGTGAAACGTGTTTTTTGTCATAGTATTGAAATAATAAAAGCTTCAACATAGTTTGGATGTGGAAGGTGTAGCGATAGTTCAGATTCAAAAACAAATATTCAGGAAAAAAGAAGAAAAAGAGAACAACTCTTAAAAGGAACAGAAGCCTTTAAATGAAAAATCAGACTGAGCTGACTATGGCATCCATTCTGTTGTGCTAAGGTGATGAACAGAAGGATGATGGGGGTGGGTAGACTGCAGTTTGGCTCAGGTAAATTGAGCCACTTTTCTAAGTGTATTCCTCTAAGTATGCAGTCTTCTACAGTAGCATCACATAATTTCAAACTGTGAAAAAATAATGGTCTTGTCATTTGCTAAGTGTGGGGTTTTTTGCGTTTTTTCCTTAGCTCCTGGGATGCAAATGGAGGATGACTGGATATGCAGGCATAGACACTCATGCAATACCCATCCTGAGCAGGTTAATGGGGCAGGATGGGTCCTCACTTCAAAGCCTTGTGTCCAATTTGGTCCCTGCATGACCCATCACAGCAGTGTTGGTATAACTATGGGGAAATTTGGATTTTTTTCCTAAGAAATCAATCCATAAAATGTAGCACAAAAAGCTACCATGGTCTGTCTACGGCTGGGGAGAGTCCTCAGGGAGGCCTAGTGCGTAGGTAGCTTGTACTTCCATTCCTGTTGATGACCACAACAACTTGTTCCTCATTTCTGCAGAGCTTTTCCCTGCTTTTGTCATCTGTATGTTATACCTGCAAAGTTGTAACTCTGAGAGCTGAGCAGCTGCTAGGAAACAAATGCTGCACGATGCTAGCAACCAGGAGCATGCCCAGTGGCTTTGGTGAGCACTTGTTGGCTGAAAAGGGTGGTAATTTGCCACCTGGGTCGGCATTTCTGGCATAAAAAGTACCCAGCTCCAAGCTTGATCCAGCACCCATATCATGAGAAAGTACCCTGCTGTCTGCAGTGGGTTTGTGTTGAGATCTATAGAGCAAGCACCATTGCGAGGCAGAAGTGAACCCTGTGATTGCCTGAACACTGGGAGTGTCCATCCAACTCCTTTTTAATGCCCTCGTGACACCTCCCAGTAGTTGTAGATTGAATGGCTTTATGCTTCCCTTAATGATTTGTTTTAATTTAGGAGTATCCCATTTCTTGGCTTCATTGCTTTTATTTAAACCTTTGAAGAGGGACCAACCTGACGCCGTTTATGCTGTATATGTTTATATATGTATCCATACCATACATATATATCTATATGGCAATGCAGACTGATGAGCTTCTAGTTGTGGAGTGATTACATTTCATGCTGCACCATACGTAAAGATGATAATAGTGCATCCAGTTGTTCAGCTTTTAGAGTGGAGTTCTATTTTCACACTTTTCTATGGAGCCTTCAAACCCCACGTTTTCACACTAGGCTGTTTTGATAGTTGTTCTCAGACCCTCCATTGACATCCTTACCGAGCATTCCCTACTTTTGGGGGCCTTCTATCTTGTTAAAAAAACAAAAAAACAAAAAATCTTTTTACCAAGTGAAACATCGGTTCCACCTTTATTCCCATTCTCACTGGTGTAAATACTGATACTAACTGAGGATTTTGACTTTGCATTCTGTCAGAATACTGTGTTCAAATAAAAACTACAAAAAAAAAAAAAAAAAAAGCTCGTGCCTACGCTCTTCTTTAGATGCTCTGCGAGGTCCTGTGTAGAGATACGGATTCCCAGGGCTGTATTTGCGTGTGAGATAAATGCGAATGGGCAGTCCCATTGGGGCGTGCCCACAGCATGAGTTAAGCATCTGTCAGAAGCTCAGGGCTCTAGACGAGCAGGAAGTGCAACTGTCTGCACAGTCACGTTAGTGAAGCAGCCGTGCTGCGTGGTTCAAGCTGGCTCTGATGGTGGCAGTGGGATGGTGTAGTTTCTCTGCCCCACTGTAGGGAGTTTCCTTGAGATAACTGCCATATAAATGCAGTTTCATGTCTAATGTGAATCAGGAGCAAACGCATTTCCCCTTAAAAAGTTGTTTCTCTCTTCACTGGCCATGGAAGGGGGGTGGGTGTACATGTGAATGTTGGCTTCAAAAGGTGCCCTTAACCCATCCTGGATTGGGTTCTTGAACGTGACGAAGGTAGGATGAATCGAATTGAATTCTGTCCTAAGCATTGATTTCTTAGGGCACAGAAGGCTAAATTAGAGCTGTGATTTGTGTGAATACTTGGGTGTCAGAATTGTTCACAGAAATACAAGAAAGTAAATGTACGAGCTGAAGTACGTGTTATCCCAAGGGAAGACCCTTGTCCTTTCTGCTTACTCTCCAGAGCTTTGCCCTCTGTTCTTGAGTGCTGTTTACACTGTGGCTTGCTGTAAAGCTATTTCAGCAAAGGTGCTGTGATTTGCCTTGTATGTTCACTGCTTTAGGAAAAGGGATAAGAAGAATGCACAGGAAATAATCCATCTTTTTGGTGGTGGGTTCTTTCAGCAGGTGCCTGTCACTGCACTTCCGAATTCAGGTTCCAGATTAAGGCTCTCAGGTCCTTCATAGCTCATTTTATTTTCATGGAATTTGACTTTGCTCTCTTGACTCTTTTACACCGTTTATAGGTTTTTTCCAGCCTTTGTTCTTGACAGAGTTCCTCCTTATTCTAGTCTGTAGCACACAGTGGGCAAAACGGTTCTGTATTCAGGTACTGAGCGCTGTTTTGTTGTCCCGCATGTTTGCAGTACCGCATTATCTACAAGAACCGTCCGTGAAGAACGGAGGCGGGGTGGATGCGGTACAATCTCAGTGCTTGACGAACAACGTACGCGCGGTTCACTTGTAGCGATCCCGCACGGCACTGGCGGCGTTTGGCCACCAGAGGGCCCCCTTGCTGCACGCTGCAGGGCGAGGGATGCTCCGGAGGACCGGGCAGCGCAGCGGGGCCGCGGCAGCTCCCCCCCAGTGCCCGTGGCTGCTCCTGCCCCTCACCGTGCCCCGAGTTACGCTTGAGGGAGGGGAGGCCCGGATGCGGCGGGGCCGGCCGGTACCGAGCCCTGACCGGGGCTGGAACCAGCGGTGCCCCCTGCCCCACCGCGAAATGGCGGCCAGCGAGACCCCGCCCTTCATTTGCATGGCCACGCCCCAACCGCTGACGCTACGGCAAGGGCGTAGTCTCCACGGTAACGGCCGCGGCGCTGCGCGCCGTGGGGCTCGGTGGCTCCGGTCCCCAAAGCTCGGTCCCCAGAGCCCGGCCATGGTGGGTGACGAGGAGCAGGAGCGGGATTTCCAGCGGTTCCTCCGCCGGGTGGACGATATCGGTAAGCGGGGCCGGGGCCGGTGTCGGGGCTGGAGGCGGACGGACATCGCCGTGTTCCGCGGGTACGGTACTAAGGGCTGAAAGGAGACAGTGGAAAGGGGACGGAGAAGAGTCAGATTCCCACCCCTCGTTCCCAGTTCGTTTTGTGCCAAGCGTCCTTAGGAGCTCAGGCGTCAGGGTTTGCGGATGCCAGGAGCTGCTTCCTAACCCTGGGAATTTTTATCATGTAGAAGCTGTAGGGAGCCCTTGGAAGCGGGATGAAGTTGTGTTTCCATCTATAAAGGTTATCCTGGTCATCAGTGCCCTCAAAAGCATCTCATCAGATGCACAACGGAGCTCCTGGTCCCTCCAGGATCATTTAGAGTACTGTCTATCTCTCTCTTCTTTCTTTAATTCCCTTTTTAGCCAATTTAGTGCAAGGCTTGAGCTCCCCAGACTCGGCTGTCAATGCAAAAGCCATTGCTGAAGCAGAGAAAAGGCTCCATGATCAAGAAACTAACAAGGAGGAAGAAAGCAAAACTACAGTCAACAGAACAGTCATCAACACCCGAGCTTCTGTAAGGACTTTATTCCCTTTGAAGTCAAAGCTGTGTGCAGCTTAGGGCTCTTAAATAATTAACCCATATTCCTTGCCCAGGAGAAAAAAATCAGAGCAGTATTTACAAGCGTGTTCTGAAGGTGACTTTGTTTTTCACTAGTTATGCTCTTGGGAGGTCCTTGATGTTGCATTGTCTTTGTTTTAAGCCCGCTAATAACACCAAAGACTTCTGTGGGATTTATCCGAGTTGAATGCAAGCACGGAGGTGCCGTAACTTGTAGCTTTACCTGTGCTTCAGGGACTTGAGCAAACCCACGTGAAGACACAGGAGTCCCTTCACTAATTTCACTAGGCTTTGATTCCTGCAGTAGGGTTTGGCTTTCAGTGATTTGCCTCGGGAAAGATACAGGAAGCTTTCCAGTAATATAAGAAACTATTAAATCCTTATCTGTTATTCAAATGTCAATTTCCTATTCCCTGTATGCATCACCCTGGATATTTCAGACATCCTGTAGCTTTGAACAACTTAACAAAGGAACAAAAGTTCCTTTGCTGCTGTGGGTTGTACTACATTGTCTGTGTACATGCATGTGCTGTGTTTCTCTCTTTTTAGGATGTGGCAAATGCAGAGGCTGTGAATGCAGGTAGGACAGTGCTCCCTCTGGTACTTAGCATCTCTTCAGTCTGTTTTAGCAGAGGTGGAGCTAGGGTTGCTGTTACTTCATGCAAGACTGAATTCCACTCCTGCCAAAGTCAAAGCTAACTTTTCTAGTGACTTTAATCAACATTCAGGCAGATTTGGGAACACACTCGAGGATCTTATAAATATGGCTGTACTTGTTCATAGGTAGAAGGCTTGCTAGTGTACTTACTGTATTCTGGTGTCTCATCTAAAAGGTTAGTATTTTGAATTCAAAAGGAAACAAGTCTGTCTCTAGAGGTTAGATACTTCAAGGCAAGTATGCAAATCCTCAGTCACAGCATGGGCTTGTCATTTGTGTTCCACTTCAGTTGTTGAAATATCCCCTTAGTATTTTCTTTCTAGCAAAATAACTTGGAAATACCTTAGGAATGACCTATTTCCCTTATCTGCAGATTGATTTTAACGATGCTTTTTTTCCTTTTTTTTAATTAAAACCAACCAACCTACCTGACAACAACCGTAACTGAAACACCACCAACTCTCCCGGTTCAAAGATGGCTTTCTGGCAATGTTGGAAAAGGATGCAAAAGAACGTGCTAAACAAAGGAAGAGAAATGAACACTTAGCAAATGGTAATTGCAAAAGGTTTTTCTAGGTAATGCCTCCAGAGACTACTTAGCAAGAACTGGGCTGGTTTGGGACGCTGTCCAGCTACTCTAATACAGTCATTCTCATGCAGGCTGAGATAGCGCTTTGGTTATGTGAGACCAGCCTTCTCCACAGAGCTGATTAGCTGGATATAACAGGGTTATATACTTGACAGAGTTGTTGCAACCTCTACTTCTCCATGCTGTCCTCTTTATGATATGAGTTTGGGATGGGGCAAAGACAAGCTCAGTTTTCTCTCTGAAACAGCATTGGAGATCATGTGGACTGAATAACTCAGAGGTCTCTTGCAAATGATGGGTAATAAAGACACTGCAGTGAAGCTGGACTGTAATTTTTGTGATTATTCCAACGGGAGATTATGGCTTCTGTTTCCTTAATCACCTTTTGGGGAAATAAAACCCAAATGGTATTTTAAATGCATGTCTGTTGGTTTGCAGCTCTGAAAGAGAAGGGAAATGATGCCTTCAGGAAAGGAGACTATGTCAGAGCCATTCAGAGATACACTGAAGGTCTGGAAAAACTGAGAAATAAGCAGGAGCTTTACACAAACAGAGCACAGGTCAGCATGTGGGAATGAGCTACCACTATACTGCTTTTGTATTTTGGTTCATTACATTTATTCTAAATTACAAACTCCAAGTAGATAGAGGACAAGTGAAGAAACAGCAGGGTTTTTTCCTGCTAAATCAGTGGCCAGACAAACGAGCAGTCTAAATTAGGTGGGTTTGTACAATAGTTAGTGGAAGTTAATTGAAATACTCTCATTATTCTGCCTGGACTCCCTTGGCTTTATTTCAGGCCTACCTGAAGGTGCATGAGTATGAAAAAGCCATTGGTGACTGTGAATGGGCATTAAAGGTAATTTTAGGATTTTGTCTTTTATGATTATGTCAAATGCTCCTTGTGTGTAACTGATGATACAACAGAAGTCAACTTGTTAATAGAAATGAAAAGATGTGCTGGTGTTGCACAAATTCCTGCATCCTAAATTCACTTGAGCAGCTTAAAGCAGTTAGTATCTCAGTGCTGCCTGTATGCAGAAGCTTTTCTAGCTCTTAAGAGTATTTAATAAGTGATAATAAGCTATTAACTACACTCATTGGCACCCTTCTAAATAGGGAAAGAGACTCAAAGCTCACAAAGATCAGATCTGCTGATCTGAAAAGTGAAGATACCCTATAAAATGCCAAAGAGCTGAATGTGAATTACATGAGTGATGCTTAGGACTGCAACACGGTTAAGAGATTATTAACAATATCGGCAGCATCATTTCAAGAAATCAGTATTTTTCACAGGGATTTGAATGGGAAAAGATAACCTAACTTTTAATTCATGGCAAAAGTAATCAAATTATAGACTTATAGAATTATAGGCCTTAGCATTACCTAACTGCATGGGGCTCTGCTTGTATTGCCTGAAGGGCAGGTTTCTGGGAAGGATACTAGGAATAGCAACTTTCCCCCTTTAACTAAACCAAAGCCAGTGCTCCTTGCATTGAGAAGGAAAGTTGGTACCTGGAGGTAATATTTTAGCATATAATCTTCAGATGCCTCTAGTAGATGAATACCCTGTTCTGTGCTTACAGTTATTTTGGGCAGCTATACCTATTAATCAGAAGGCTGTGAAAATATTAAAAGGTAAAAATTAATAATTTCTTTTTTAACACAGTGCAATGAAAAATGTATTAAAGCCTGTTTTCTAATGGGGAAGGCTCATCTGTCACTTAAACACTACAGTGAGGTAAGCTGACTAAATTTTATGGCCCTCAGACCATGTTTTGTTCTGGTTTTGGTGTAGTGATGTGGGTAAAAGAGAGAAATCTGTGATCTTAAGCACTGGTCAAATGAAAGTATATTGAACCTTCAGGCTTGAGAGGAACTTCTGTGCTTTGCAAAGACTAATAATTCTAATAATAGTCAACTTACACTTTTAATTACGAAAGTTTTTACTTGTGTGTCTCCATAAGATTTATTTTCCACACTTAAGTACAGTGGCCCATTTCTTTTCTCTGTTAAGGCCAGGGAGTGTTATGAGAAGATCTTACAAATCGATCCCCAAAAGGAAAGCCTGTTTAAAGGTAAGGAATAGAAATGGTTACCCTGTCACCCCTTGTTTTCTGATCAAGATGGAACCTAATCAAAACCACTATTGTGCTTTTCAGAACTTTTGATGGAGTCTCTTCACTCAGCTTTTGTTTCAGATTGTTTCTTCTTTAAACTCTGTTCCGCTGATCAGAGCTGTGGGTCATTCTGTACATTTGTATGTAGAAGGTAGCTCTCTGTCAAGGAATCAGCTTCATTCTCTCTTTGAAAGCTGACCATATACAAACACTTAACTACCATGCTTTGTCGTCTTTTGATTTCCAAGATTGTATGAATGAGGTAAACTTGGAGGAGAAAAGAATGAGAGATGAAGAGAGAGCAATGAAGGAAGTTGAGTCTGGAAACCTTGCTGCTCTGTCCATAAAAGAACTGCTGCAGAAACTGCATAGACCTGACCAGAATGTCCTCTACTATGCAGGAGGGATCAGACTTTTAGCTGGAACTGTGAAAGATTGTAAGTATTTGATGTAAAGGTTATTGATGATGGGAGCTGTAATCCAAGCAGATGAATACAATTGGATTAGTTCCTTAAGGAACAGGAAAAATTATTCCTATAGTAAAGACATAAAATCAGCAGTGTTTAATATTTCAAAATTTATGGGTAGTAGATATTTATGTCTATTTTACAGAAGCAGACCAATGTTGTAGCTGAGCTGTTAAGAATTCTATAGATTTGGGTCTCTTAAGAGCTGTTTCGTTTGTTTAGAAATATTTGTAATTCCCTGCTAAAGCATATTGATTTGCAAAGCCAGCTCATGTTTCAGTCTTCCTAAAGAGCCTTTAACTTGAAGTCAGCTGTCCTTTACAGCACCAGGCATGAATTAGAGCACTCTTCAGCTTCAAAGCTGCCTCTACTTCAAGTAGCACTCTTGGAGTTGTTCTCTTTTGATGGCATTCTTTCCCCAGAGCTGTTGATCCAGTGACCTTTTCTTTTAACACTGTGTTAGGGAAGAGCAGGAGTCTGCCTTCACAATGATCTGTCAGCCAGATGGATCACAGAGCTGATTTGTTTATCTCTTTTTCAGGTACTGAGCAAACTTTATTTAGAACAAACAATGGATTCAGTATCCTCGGAGACAACGAGATTGTAAGAGGGTAAGAGCTCTCCAGAGGAAAACAGTAGGGTGTTAGAGCCTGAGGAAATGAAAACACTGTTTTCAAGAAACACAATCACCTCTTGAAATGCAGATGAAATGACCAGAAGATAATGTAATAGCAGATTTTAATGTCTGAATGGACTGACTCATTTCTGCCTTTTAATACAAACAGTGCTTTCTTAGATGCAGTGAACAGAACTGAGTTTCTGCTTCTGTTTCCTATTTCTGTACAGTTATCCTATCTCACAGTAAGAACAGGTCTGATTTAAAAAAAACACAGCTTGATAGAGAAGAAATCTGAAAGCACTTAGTTGCTGAAGTTGCTGAATGTATATTTGAGTCAGGTTCAGGTAGACAATGGCAACAAGAAGATGCGATTGGAAGATTTTGCATAACTAAGGTTCAGAACAGCACGACTGGTTGAACGGAGCAGGAGAGCTATTCTTTAAGGTTCTCAGTGGGACTGCAGCACAGAGATTTCTTGAGGGTTCATCAATGTTTTGGGTGCAGAACTGATTTTCTCACCTTTATGATGCCATGTAATGCTCATATAAGGTCTGTGTGTGTGGAGGGTAGAGTAGACCTAGTAGATAATAAATCTGCTATCAGGGGAAGTCCTCTGGAAAGCCATACTCCTAAAAACAGTTAACCAAGGAGCTGGGTTTAGAGCTTATGAGCTTAAGTGTTTTTGTGGCAGATCCTCATCTCTGTGAGGCATTGCCAAAGACCTAATTGTTTGATCTGTCCTTTGCTCTTTTTTTTTCCCCACCATTTCTAATTTAGGGGCTTCTGTGCAGAGAGCAAAAATGCTGCTGAAGTGGATTTGTCTGTTTCTCTTCTGCTCCTTTGGCAAGCTGTCTGCGCTGGGAATGGTAAAAAATATATAATCAACATTAATCATTGTTAATGTATTGTTAGTATGGCGCTTACTGTGTCTGAAATTGATGTTTGGCATGAACATCGCTTTCCCAGAGCGCTTGCCTCTAGACCTTATTGTAAACTAAGTTTTACAGGTCAATAGCAAGTGCTGGCATGCGCTGCTAGCAGCAACCACAATTTTGGCAGATACGTTCATTACGAGATGAAATTTTCAGTCTATTTCTATGAGCGTATTAAAACTACTGAAGGGGTGGAAAATAAATTCCCTGTGATTATTACTGCTTTTAAGATAATATTACTTGTATAATTTTGTTTTTAAACAGTTACGCCAGCAAAAAACAGAGTTTTATAGAATTCCCTTTAGAGAAGGCAAATTCTTTGGCATTCACAGTCAGGAGTCACTGGGGAGGCAGCCCTTGTTTCTAGGGAGTATATACATAGATAAGAAATGGGCTGGGGTGGTGGTGGGTAGTAAAGTGGTGCAAATTGCCACACAAGGAAAACACAGAATGCTTGATGCCAGTGCCTGTATTGACTTGTAAATCATGGAATCCAGCTGATTCTCAGGCGAATATTAATGCTGCAAGGCAAGGGGAAACCCCACATTAGTGAATGAAATAGAGACATTAAACCTCTTAAATCAGCATCTAGGAAAAAAGAGTAACAGTGATGCCATTGTGTATGACATTGCCCTTGGATCTTCTTTTTTTGTTGTTGGTTTTATTCAGAAGAAAATCAGCGTCTTCTGTTGACTCACCCTGATGTGAGTGCACAGCTGCCAAAGCTGCTTTCCTCAGGGGTATCGGAGATCCAAAAGGAGACATTGGCACTAATTTATCTTTACTCAGAGAATGAGAATGGGAGGAGACTGCTGGTCAGGCACCTGGATCTAACCAAGTAATAAACACTGCTATTATTTAGACAAATCTCCTTAATGCCTGGGTTCACAGATGTTGGGAAATCATTCCCCTAGCAGTATGGGACATTATGTTCATGTCAATGACGTTGAGATTTCTGTCCTTGAGGGATAGGCCTAGCTAAGCAAAAGTAAAAGTTAGGGGTGTGAGGAAAACTTTAGTAAACTTTGTACCTGAAAGTGTCTGCAAAACTAGGTAGGAAGGGCTTATTCTAGAAGATGTTCATACAATTCTGAAGCATAGCTTTTTAAACCACTGTGTGTTTGTCTAACCTGCAGTCAGAAGTTTACACTGTTGTCTTTTAATAGTTCATGGTTTCAGGCTGTGAGTCTCCTCATTTGGTATGATTATTTAGTGTTGCCATGACTCAGAGTGGAGAAAGAAAGAAGAGGCTGTTGCCTTTATCTTACTAACCTGGTATTTCCTTTTAGAGTTAAGCAGAGGTGAAATCTTAATTTATTGGCTGGGACTACATGGTTCAAAGTAATGGATGAACAGAAAAGATTCTCCAGCAGTTGCACACACTTCATTATATTAATACAAGATTAATCCAGAGACACTTTTCCTTGGGAGGAGAAGCTCCAGAAATAGCCATATCTGAGAGAATGCTTAATAAAAGGCAGATAATATTACTGTGGCTTGAAATATCAGGAGCCAGATAAATCTCCTGTGACCTTCTGAAAGAGATCCTGGGCCTGATTGCTTTAAAAGAGTTAGGGTGCTCAGAATGCAAAGTTGCAGATATTGAGCTTCTTGGCAGTTGGGCTTGTCAACAAAAAGTGGTGAGACTATAGGTTCTCTTACTGTGCTTACGAAGTTAGAGAAGAGAAGCAGGGAATTTCAGCTCAGTAGAGGAGCATGTGGAAATACTGTGAGAGAATCTAGTGCTGAAACACTGTTCTAATGGCTGTTAGGTAACTGAGTGTGTTTGGAGAGCACAGTATATCTAGATTGGTCATAAATCATTAATTGTGTTGGTGCACTTAAACTATAATTTGGGTCTTTAATAACTAACCTGAAGCTGACATGATTTTTTTGGCTTATGGAATTACAGATGGCTGCAGGTTTTGATGATGTTTGTCAACAGCACTGATGCCAAGGCTAGCAGTGCCATGGACATATTATCTGATTTAACTCAAGAGGAAAGGTAACATATATTTCTTCATTAATTTGTAAAACGTTGTACTTCAAAATGTACTAAGTGAGCTAGTGATAGAGGCTGTTGGCTGCCTTTGCTGTGAGGGTACATTGCTGACTGATGTTTACCTTGGTTTTATGTTGCTGTTGTGTTACCTTCTTCTTCGATTTTTGCTTAAAGCTTTAAGTGTCCAAATGCAGCTTTCTTTATCCCCCAACAGGTTCAAAACCCAGTGTCGTGTCATGCTTTCCACAGATGTTTTACCTTTATTCACCCAGTTGCTGGTATGAAAGATCTCAGTGTCCGTATTTCTGGTTTACTTTGGTGTAACATGGCTTACGACCACTCTTTATAGCCAGTTGCTCCTAGACAGAACCCCTCAGTGGCAGAACTGCGGTAGTTATTGTGCCTTTAGTTCTGTAGGCATAACAAATCCAGTTTTGTCATATGCTTTCCTTGGGAAAATGTTCTCAATCTCCAGTACTTGGTGCTTGGGTTCCAGGTGTTACCAGTTTTATATTCAGTAAAATCTCTAGACTCGATTGCAGATTCCCAGCAGTCATCTGTCAGGCTCTGTGTTAGGCTCTTAATGTGACTTCAATCCACTGCCACCAACCGGTTGTATTTTGGATAGTGACTTTTTCTGTTTCTAATCTGAAAGACCAGGGTGAAGAGACAGCATCAGGTCACAAGGTAGAGATGTTTAGTGGTTCAGATCCCTTTCCTGGATGTTTATTTAAACTGCAAACTTATAATACTGTTGGTACAGAAACTTGTCCTCGAGAAGAGGAAAGGTAATAGGGAAGATTTGTTCTGTTGCAGGACAGCAAATAGAGCTGGAAAGTAAAACACTTCCACTTCTCCAAATGTGCACCAATACAATGCAGTAATTGTAGCATTTTTACATTGCTTATTGCTCTTGCCTTTTGAAAGCACCTTACTGGAATGACAGCTGCAGCAGAGGCTGTTCTGTGAGCTAAGGGGTAGAAGGCAGTATTCACAGTCTGAGGTGAATCTAGGCACTTTTTCCCAAGACTCTTAAAACTACATCAGGAGATTAACTGGGAAAATGGGAGTGATTTCCAAACTTCAGGCTGTTGGGACTTAACATAGGTAAGATTGATTCTGGAATCCCATTTTCCATTGCCAGAGTGATAGGAGCATGTACTTGTTGTTTCCTTGTCATTTGTTCTTAACTTGGTATTCCACTGTTCTCTTCAGACCTCTGCCAAGCTGGTGAACCAGGCAGCCCTTGCCCGTTGCATTGGCATCATGGGGAATCTGTGTGCAGATGGAGTCATTCGAATGCAGATGGCTGAGTGCAAAGAGTGCTGGCAAGCATGCCTAAAGCTTGTGGTAAAGAAACTTGATGGCTTCCTAGAACAGTGTTATCAGCCCTATCTCTTGTGGAAATGGTACTTCTGTGATCATGTTCGTTTTCCTCCCTTAATAACTCTGAACCTTTGACTGAGATCTTTCGAATCTAGTAGTTGGATTGAGGTCTCAGAAGCTGTGTCAGTAGGTGGCACTGGTGGTGGGGGGAGAGAATGAGTGATCCCTTATTGTGAGTGGCCCCTTTCAGGGTAAGGATGCAGTATGAACTCAGTCCTCTGAAACTGAAGAATTCAGAAGGTGGGAAAGAACCTTGTTACCTGATTAAACATCACAAGTTTGGAGTGTGCAGTTTTAGATACCAAAGTGAAACAAACACAAGAATGAATCTGTATCAAAAAGCTGTTATTAGCTCTGGTGCCCACAGAACTTGTTCTTCCTTCTGAGTGCTCCCTCATTCCTCCCCTGATGCATCATGTAAGTAAGCACACAGAAGACTGAGGAAGTGCATATTTTGATCTTCTGAATTGATTGTGCTTTTCTCTCCTTTGTATCCAGGATGAATACTTTGATGTGAGCACATCCAAATACCAGCAGTGTTTGTTTGCAGTTCTGGGCCTCATGATGAACTTGCTGCTTGAATCAAATGTGATTATCCAGGTATACAAGATCTGTGAATATTCTTCAGGCTGCCAACCTTGGATTTTGCTGGCGTTCAGTTAATTCTTCATTTTTATTGGTGTTTAAGGTTATCATTAAGGGTAATGGACAAGTAAGCTAAGAAGTGAAAAGGTGTACAAAATTCCTTCCCTTTCCTCCTCCCAGTTATGAGAAAAATACAGTGTCAAGCACATACCTTTCCATAGTAGTATAAATGTTTTGTTCTGCATCAGTCTCCAGTTATACAATATGTGTAAACACGTGGCACATTCCAAAATTATTTAAAACTAAGGATTCCATCAAGAAGGAAGAAATTCTTCTGTTACATGTGGGTGCTGAAGTATTAGTAACTTAATGCCATGTGTGCCCTGATCTCCACTGGATTCTTTGTTGTAGAGTACTTTGTCTATTAACCCATTTCTGCTCTATCACTTCCCAGCTGATGTTTTCACATTGTTGTTTCAGTACTTTGCTGTGGACATAAGTGGCAGGTGCGTGTCTCTCCTCAGGGATAAGGATGGAAGGATTGTCACAGTAAGTGGGATATCTATGGACTAACAAAAGATTATATTAGCCAACCTGATGTGAACACTTAAGTGCAAACTCCTGCCCTGCTTTGAAGCCTAAACCAATGATTATTACTAGTAAAGAAATAATGCATTGCTTATATTTGTCAGGTTTTTATATGGTTTGATGCAAGAGGTTCTCATTGTCTCTTGAAATCTACATGATAGAAGCTCTTACAAATAATTTCATCCTTAGGATGGTTGTCAATATAAAACCTCTTCAGAAAAAATAATAAATCTAGAAGCAAAGGAGCAAGAACAATTTGGGTGCTCAGCAGCTGTTTAATTTCACAGTTCCTGTATGTGAATCATACTTAGGAGATTGTGCTCCTGTTAATGGTGTGTCACTCCCACAGGCAGCAGTTATTCAAGGCAAATAGGTAGGAGCAGATGGGAACTCAGAGGCTGTTCACCTCTCTGCATTCACATGGATTGTTCTGATCTGCTTTACTTGACTCAGTACCAGCAGTGCTGGGCTTGTTTCTACTAGGAATTTTTTAAGTAACTAAACTTACAGGGAGTTGCCCTGGTGTCAGTTTGGTCTCATCTCTCTCTACACTGAGTCTCTAAAAGCTGTGCTAAGTGCAGTTTCCAGTAACAATAAAAAAGTCATGTCCTGAAGATGTTCTTTGCTATACTGCTGTAAATGTCTCTTTTATGACTGTAATTACTTTGGGTTTATTCTGCAAAACCAAGATAATTTGAAAACTGTTGCAAGTTGTCTGGACAAATAAACTTTGTGGTTTTTTAACCTCTCTCACATTGTTTTCTAATTAAGAGAGCCACTGGAGTGCTAAGTCGCATCCTGCCAGCATCCTCCTCGGCGGTAGAAGAAGTAGTGAAAGGAGGGGTGGTGAAGAAAATGATCAAATTTTTGAAAGTAAATGAATTTAACAAACTGCAATTTATTTCTGCTTGTATTATCCCTTAAGAAAGCCATAGTTGCCCCTGTGTTTAGCTTGTTTTCCCTATGAGAAAGACCTGTGCAGACACTGGCTTCATTTGTCTGCATCTGTGTTGTCCGTTGTTAACAGTGCTCTCAAGTTTAGTTTTAAGCTAGGTAGCCAGTTTTGGAGACTAGACTGCCTTCTGTAGTCTGGTCTGTAGGCCAGATTTCCCAGTTGTTGCCATGTGAGTGAGATGCCTGTGCACAGCTCTGCTTCCAGACGCCTGTAAATTCAAGAACCCATAACTGCAGGGCCCAGCTGGAGGACTGAAGCTTATAATTGGTGTGATCTGATTTGGACCACTGAAAAGCAGTGGAGCCCTTTCCACTGTTTATCTGTGAGCACTGAACCAAGCTTGGGAGCAGGAAAGAGATGGTTCTTGTGTCCTTTTCAGCCTGTGTTCATCTTGAGATGCATATTCTGCAAAGGTCTTAATTTGGTATTTGGGCTTAGGCAGAAGGAACACCTATCTTCATGGTACCTAAGCTATTCTGTAACCTTGAGCAAGCTGGGGTATGAACTGGGGTATGTTTGTTAACGTATGCTTTAAACAAATCTAGGCTGGAGGAGAGACTACATGCAATTATGGTATAAAGACCCTTTCCATCTGCACCAGAAGTAACAGGCAAGCTCAAGAAGATCTCGTGAAGTCAGATAAAGGTAAATGACTAAGCAGAAGCTGGATGCAGAGATGTAATCTCAATATTGGCCAATTACTTTCTTCTGTTCTAGAATGGACCTGAACACTGGTGTTTAATCTGGCAAGACTTCAGCCATGGTATCTGACCTCCTGAAACAGTGCTTAGTGATCCTTAGCCCTGTGTGTGGATGGAAACAGGCGCATCAGATAATGAGCCCGAGTTAGAGAAACTGTGCTTTACTTGAGTGAAATGGCTTGGTATGCTTTGTCAGGGCCAGAAGTATATAGATTCTGAAAGAAAGTGCTTATAAAATGTAACTGAATTGGGTTGTATTTCCCAAAGCTAGTGGCTAAAGTAGAAAACTTAAACATGTGATTTGCAGAAGTTGAGGCTGAGTTTCCTTCATTTACATGTGGATATTTAGCCTGGTATTAAAAGGAAATGGATATGGAGACAGAGTGATAATATCAGGCCAGGTGTCTTAGGGTATTTTTGAGTATATTCACTCTAGTCATGCGGTATAACATTGCTTGGATTGCTTTACAATGCAAGTTCAATTAATGCTAATGTGACTACAACAGAGAATACTTAAGTTTTATCTAAATGGTTGAACCTGTCAAGAAACTGTCAGCTCATGTAGTTCAACTTGAACCCTAAGGATTTCCACTCATGAAAAGCCTCTCAGAGCATCATCTTCCTATTGTACACCCCATATTAGTTTCACTGTCATCTGTAAATGAGCTTTCATTTCCACAAATTAGCAATAACACTTCACTCTAATTCTTCCTGCCAAAACTCTGGGTATTAATCTTGTGAGAAGTCACAATTTCTTATTTTTTCCATCTCTGTTTGCCAACCCAGACTTTGCCCTGTTGCTAGGAGCCTGATGGAATTGAGCTATAGTCCCATGACATACGATTGCATTCCAAATGGGCCGCTTAGTTCAGCTTATTCACCAGCCACTGTTGCTGTCTGGAGCAGCAGTGCCTTTTCAGCAGATGATGTTGCAGAAAAAGGTGGGATGTGATCTGGAAGAACAGATGGGACCATGAAAGAAAACCAAAGCAAACTTATGTAACCCCCAAGGAGACTTCATGCACGTGGAAGCCATGGCTGTAATTTATTTAGAAAGTGGTCTACCTGAATGTTGCTAGGTTCCGTGGCCTGAGACATTGCTGCTGCTTACAGATGCCAGCAAGAGCTATGCAATTCTGTGCCAGTACAGACAAACTATTCTGCTGCTGTACATTAGTGTAGGTTGCAGAAGTAGATAAGCTGAGCTGCTTATGAAAGTCCTTGCTCCTCCAGGTTTTCCAGAAAAACACCCAACACAGAGCAGTGCTCGCTCCCTGGGAGTTTAGATAAAGACAGGAGAAAGTATCAGTGGTACTCGAACAAATCTGTGTGCATTCTGTACAATTAATCTCTCTTTCTCCCAGGGTTCAGTGTGCTGCTGAAGCTCTTGGACTCAGAGAATGAAATGATTGTAGGCAATGCTGCACTCTGCCTTGGCCAGTGCCTTGTAGTTCCTGGAGCAGCAACATCGTTACTGAATTCCAATGTTGTGATGATCTTGTTGAAGCATGCTGGTGGCAATGCTAGAAGAACTTCAGTGCAGGAGAATGCAGCGATTGCTCTGGGGAAGCTTTGTGTTGCTGAACCAAGGTACTGTAAAAAAGACTGTTGTTCTTCTACACCATCTGTTTCTTAGCTGATGATAATTCTTGACCTGTATAAGTGGATTCCATATGTAGAGCAAGCAGGTACAGGGCAGATCGTTAGTTTACATAAATACTCCATGAAATCTACAGTTGCCACTTATGGTGCTATCCCCACAGTTCTGTTCCTGTTCCTACTTAACGTGTTTCAAGGAGAATTGCTTTACCTGTGCTGGAAGAATGGAAAGAGGAGGAGTAATGTTGTACCTTTGTAGAGGTCAGAGCAATAACAAGAGCAAAACAGAAGTATAAATGTCAGCAAAGAATGTCTGCTGCTGCCAGCCAAGTGTATGCCAACCTCTAGCTAGCTGCAAACAGTCAGCTGGATCTTGAACTACATTCCAGGCACAGGAACTGAGCTCAGCTTGTTAATATTCATCCTGAACCATTGCAGAAAGCAGGGAACAATGCTTAGTTTCCAAAAGTTTCAAATCTTGCTTCTGCTGGAGATCAAAAATGAGCAATAGAGAAATTATCTGCTCTGAGGTACAAAAGGGGAACACCTTATTTTCTTAGGTTGGGGGGGGGGTATTTGCAATGCCATAAATTTGCACAGTTGTCAGGTATTATTTAGGACTTTCATTTTCCTTTTTGTAGGGAACTGTGATCTAGAAACTTTCTCATGCTACTTTAGGAGTGATTTATCGAAGGTGGCATTGAACATCCTTGACAATTTGGGCATGGGTGATATAGCAGAGGACTGGAAGCTGAAAACTTTTATTGTTGGTCATCTTATATTCCCCCAGCAACCTTTCTATTGTCTTTTCAGGCATATTTTTCAACTGCGGAAACTCAATGGTTTGGCCATCCTGAGCTCCTCTATGAAATACGTGCAAAGCATCTGAAGTTTTCAAGAGAGCTTCAAAATGTGCTGTTAATATCACTTGCTGTTGAGTACTGTAGTTTTCTCTTTAATAAAGCTAACTCAAAGTGCATCAACTTTTCAGTCCCTTTTTAAAGTGCTCCTCCACAGAAGCCAGTCAAGCAATATCAGTGTGTCAGGAGAAAGAAGTTACTTTATTATCTAGGCCAACAACTAAAATAACAGCTTGCAACAAGCTTACCTTTGATTTACTAAATAATATTGCCTGTTCTTATAGCTGAGTTCCTTGCTGGTTAATCACTGACCAAGGCATTGTCTAATCTCCTTTACAGTTTGCGTCCAGTACCCAGTGTATTAGAAGAAAAAACATAAATTGTGAGCTGTGACTTTGAAGAATCCTTTCTTTCCCCCATATGCTGTTATGGTGATTAGATTATGATTTAGTATCAGACGTGCAGTATCACCTCACACTTGGCTTAGACTGCTTAAATAAGTTGGTCTTAATTTTGCTAAGTGCTCAATCTTAACAAAAAGGTACGACAATGAGGTTTGTGTATGAATGATGGGCTGTTTATTTTAGTAGTGTTACACTTGCTATCTTCGTTAATGTAATGGTATCCCTTTGTCCTGTCCTTTTGTGTGGAGTTTCCTGATCTTAAGTACTTTCTCATGGCTCCTTGTGTTCATCTCTGATCTCCTCTATAGCTAAAGTACTGCTGGAGGAAGTCTGTCAAATACAACGAATATGCTCTTCACAAATCCATAGATGCACATCATACACACAAAGCTATACTAAAAGCTTGGAGAATTTAGGTTAGACAGGGATTTTGGCCTTGGTTTTGAGCACAGGGAACAAAGAATGTATTACCTTTATATGGCAGGGAACAGGCCAATGATGTTTGACTTTAAAATGGATTTTCAGTTTGCCTCCTTGACTCCTGTGGGTTTCTGCCCTGTATATAATCTTGTCCTTCGGAGCCGTGTCTGACAAGTTACTTATCATCTCCTTTTCAAAACAGCAGCTGAATCACCTTCCCACTTGAGAAGGAAATTCTCTTGCACCTGGTTGTATTCCCTTCACAGAGAAAAGCACACAACTGATAATCTCAGTTTCATTTTTCAAGCTTCTGCTGTAAAGTTACAGCCTGCCCAGGCACATAGGTAACAACTACTGTGTGCAGGATTCAAGCCCAAATAAGCATTAGGCTCTAAACCTGACAAACAACAAGCACTGTCTTAAGGAAAAGAAAGTTACTGAATCTTGCATTTGCAGAGGGAGGATGTCAATGTCAGAGCTGAGCGGCAGGTGTAGTGTGTCACCGGAAAATCACAGGAGAGTCGAAATCATCCTTAAAAGCCTAAAAGCTAAAGGTAATTCTTGGGTTTGGCTGACAAGCTGGGTTTTGCTTAATGGAACCTTTCATGTACCAGTTGCTATCGTCCCTAGGAGAACTGCACACAGTACTCAAAAGTAGCAATTTAACTCTTTCTGCAGAGATAGAGTTGCCTGACATAGGCAACCTCTGGTATTTTCAATCACGTTTGCTATCTTTGCCATGCACATGAATGCACTGTCTTGTTTAGTGAGAAATTGACTCCAATTGGTGCAGGCTTCTTTTTTTTTTTTAACAGATTATTGGTTGCTGTCTGCCCTAAGCTCTTATAAAGTAACCCAACACTGCCCTCCCAAAACAAACACAGCAAATGCCCACGGCTAAGAGGCAGCAGTGACTCCTTAGCAAGCCGCTTCCTATCTGACCATAGTGTAATTGGGATGGCTCAAGAGCTGCCTCACAAGATGCAGGAAAAATTCCACACTTTTATTCTGATTGCAGCTGGACTATTGGATTTAGCTGGTGAGTGATGTGTTTTGTTCTAATCTCAGTTGCTTTCTTTCTGCCTTCTTTTCCTCTGTTATCAGTGGGTAGAAAAACTATGGTAAATATTGTGCCATCAGTCTCAGGTGTGTAACAACAACAAGATGAAGGAACAGCTTCCCTCTGTGCAGCTGTGCTATAAAGGCTCAAGATTTAGTTTAAGTGGTTTGTGCTGTGGGAGCTTTAGCAGCCCCAGATCAGGACAGAGCTGTTCTATTTAGCTGAGCTGAGAGACTGTCCATTCCCCAGGGTATATATTGTCTCTTTCAGGTGGGGGAAAGCAAAGGAAAAAGAGGGTCAGTTTTCATAGAGTAGGATCAAACTCGTGCCTGCTGAAGCCTTGCTCAGAATATACTTTACCAGGCACTGCTGTTTATCACATTAAGTGTGGGTGCCACTCTTCACCATACAGTAACATGTCATTCTGCCTTTTCTTCAGGAACAGCTTAAATACAAAATTGCTTTTTAGCTTCTAGATAGATGTATTTTCTGGCAGATGCCTAAAGGAAAATGCTTGAAGTTTTTAGAGAGGAAAGTAGATTCACATTTTAGTCCTTGGTTTGGAAAGCATTCTTGGGAATGGCAACCTTCTGAATGTGAAAAGAGGAAAATAAGTAACATGTATGGATAGAACAATACCCTTTTAAACCACAGGTCTGCCTCTTCAAATTTAAAGGTCTCTGCTTTTGATTTGAGAAGTTAAAAGCAGAGAAGTTGCTGTGTTCTCTCTGCTATATGCCACTTCCACAAAACAAACAGGCTTTTTCCTGATGGTCACCCAGTATGCATCAGGAAACTCATCAGGACTGGGATACTGGGGTAGGAAGAGTGGTTAAGGAGAGCCACATGAGTAAGCTCATTCATGTATATATAAATTTTGCTTTGCCTGTCCCTCAGGCAACCTGAGGGGTTTTATTCTCATTGCATTTTCAGTTGTCATTGATATCTTTGTACGATTAAGATAAAGGGTTCTTCTCTGGCTGGTTAATGCTTTATAAGGATGGCAAAAGTATGAAATATCATCCTTCATATGACACTGAATATAAACAGCAGAGGATCAGACTTATAACAGCTGTCTATAAGAATGGCAGTGCCAGAGCTGCCTGTCCTCCCTCCTGTATGGTTCTGAACAGAGCCAGTGGCCACTTAACTTTCTGCTTCCCTCCCACTCAGCCTGTTGCAAAGTGCTGCTACAAGCTGTTAAAAGCTCATGTGCAACTGAATAGGCAAAGGGCTTGTTTTCTGTTTGCTAGGTGCCTCCGGGAATGAGCATCATGTCAGTGAAGTATTTGGCCCGAGCTTTCCTGGAGAAGCCCAACCAAAAGCTGAGAGCATCCCAGTGTCCAGCAGAGTGTTTGCCACTACAGAAGATAACTTAGAAGAGGCGACCTTCAATTTTCAGAGTCCAGCAGTTGAGCCAACCGATGAAGGGACAGCTGACTTCATTCCTGTCCATGCAGAGCCAGCTGCAAAAAGAGCAGACGTGCTGTCCAAGGAGATGGTTAGAAACTTGGGGGAGCCTCAGCAACCGCACACAGAAGCAGCAGCTTCAGAACTCCAGGATGGACACGCATTTCCTAGCAAGCTCTTGAGTAGCGTAAGCATCCCTGTCTCCACATCAGGGCCACAGGCTACCCCACATCCGGAACAGCCAGACAGGCCACTGCAAGGAGAACCAGAAAATACTACTGAGGCTGGTTGCAATCCTACCAGCTGTAGCACTGGGCTCCCCCAGCCCTTTCTCAGTGGGGGGACACATCAAGACTCTCCTGAGTTTAAAGCTCCCTCTTCCGTTCGTGTTACGAAGCAGATGGAGGTGCTAAGTCCTAAAACGTCCCTTCTGACTTCAACAGTAAATTTTTATCCTCCAAGAAAAGAAATGGCGACATCCTCATTTCCCACCAGAGTTAAGATTGCTTTTGGAAGTACAAGGGTGCATTGGTTACCAACAGGAATGCCTCCCACTAGCAAAAGGCCAAGAGATACAAATCCACAAGTCCAGCCTGACAGCAAAGCTGGTGTGACACCTGCATACCTGAAGAAGACTCAGAATATGAATGCTGAAGCTACAACTTCTGCACCCCTACAAAAGCCAACTTCAGGGGACCTTGATGCGGTCTTTTCCAGAATGACACAGACAAGTGCTATTCAGTTTCCCCATGTTTTATCTCCAAAGCAAGAAACAGCAGGTAGTAAAGCCAGAAACTCAACAACAGCTGTAATAAATGCTTCTGGACACCCAAGCCAGTTGCCTGCTCTTCAGACACAAGGCACCGTACCTTCATCTTCATTACTGATGCGCCTGGAAGCTCTAGCTCATGATGACTTACTTCCATCTCCATTTCAAGGGCCCATTAGCACAACTGACAGACAACAGCCCCACTCTTTGTCGCAGACTCTCAACTGCACTAAACATGTTTCCCAAAAAAACAACAGGAGCTCTCAAGAAATTGCAGTTCCAGTCTTGCAAAGAGAAACTGATCATCAGCCAGTGACAAGTAAACCTGAGCAATCCAGATCCCCTGAGAGCCCACAGGCTTCTGCAAGTTCATTCTCATTAAGCCAGTCATGGATTTCCACATTAAAGCTTTCCCAAACTACTAAAGACCCAAAAGTAGTAACATCTGCACCCTTTCCGGGTACGCCTACCTTTGCGAATGCAGCCCTTCAACCTGTGAGCACTTCTAACGCTGTTCATGCAGGGCTTCAGCCGCCTCGTACATCTTTTCCTACTTACGTTGGATTGCAGCTAATGGGCACTCCCAGCTCTGCTGAGAAAGAGCTCCACAGAACGACTTCATCCATGTCTGCTGGTTCTGGGCCTCTGCTTCAAGGCATTTCTGCCCATCCTGTATCTCAGGAAGCCTTCCCTGTGATGCTGCAGATGAGCACAGTGGAAGACTCCAAGAGAAAGAAAAGTCTCTTACTGCAGCTAGGTAAAACTGGTTCTCCCCCAGGGACACAAGTCATCCCAGTCCCCAGTCCCTCTGGACTGCGTGACAACAGGAACCAGAAAGCTGTTCTTCACAGCTTTGCCCCTCCAGCTTCCCAGATCCAGCAAGCTGGTAGCATGGCACCTTTTGCTTCAGAACTGCCCTCGCTCTATGCACAGGGAGGCCAGTCCAAATCAATAACAGCAGATCCTGAACCAGTGGTGCCGAATGTTTCTGGTGAGATCCCAGGGTATCTGGCACAAGCAGCAGCAGTGCAGCAGTTCAGCACATCACATGATGCAGCTA